GTGCGCTTGCTTTAGGATTTGTATTATTTGCTTGCATTTCTTTCTGTTACCCATTGTTGTATAACGTCCCATTCGCGCTATACCTCAGAATAGGGCTGCAGTATGTATAAATAAATAAATAAACAAATAAATAAACCATACGGCGGTGACACCGATCTGTAAATATAGCGTTGGCTGTGATATACGCGTTCTGGTCGAGATTACGATATTACCCGCACTGAAGACGGTGCAAAGGAAGTATGTACCTTACTGTCACAGAACGAGCGCTCAAAAAGGGCGCGCCGCCAAATTCTCGCGACGAAACGCGGGAGAGACGCCGCGAGGTCAACGAAAAAAAAAGAAAACAAGCATCCAAGGGCTCCCCTGGCGCGCGACCCTCCCCTCTCGGAAGCGTAGGTTCGCCCACGAACCTCCTCAGCCCACAACGGCGGCCGAGCAAGCACTCGAATGTTCTAGATGGAAAGGGGCGTGGTTTATGCTGGGTTGAGTCATCCGTCGCGGACGGCATTCGAACCGTCTCGCCCTCTCCCCAGCCTTCGCTGCGTATCGCGCCGACGAAATGACGAGAACTTTCTGGAATCTTGTGCGGAAGGTATTTAATGGAGCAGCTGAGGTGAGAGATCAGGAGAAGACGAAAGTTAGCGCCAGAGCGCGTAGGGAGTCCGCCGTGTAGTTGGCGAAGGTTTTGTCCGTAGGGACAAAGCAGGAGAAGAAGAGGATTTCCACCTGAGGGGTGACGACTCGAGCTACAGGCAAGAGTGTGTGTTTACCGCTATCGAACGAAGATGCGTGGCAACAGCTGCGTGTGTGAAACCGGCGTGTTTCCGGCGAAGAAGTTTGAAGCTTGGAGAGTGGCCAATTGAAGACGTGAGGTTTCCTGGAAAAGAAACTTCGGGGGCAGCGGAACGACAACAACGCTGGACTTAGAGTGAGTGATTATCTGAAGAGTATCATCCAGACTTTTGTTCCAAGAACTTCGGACTGAATAGGTTTTCTATCTTTTTAGTCTTTAAGTGTCTTGGTTGTTCAATGCATGCGACTGCATTGTAGTGCGTATTGTTGTCTGTGTCCGTTGTTTCGAGTGTGGCTGATTGTATTGCGTAGTACGTTGTTTGATTGGTGATATATTGTCCTCAACTATTGTGGAGTGTGCATACTTGTGTGTTCTTTCGATCTGCCATTATTGAGAATATAATTTTGTTTGTTTATCAACTCTGGGCTCTGACTTGTTCTTTGGGCCACAGCCGGCGTCCGCTGGCGTGCCAAAAGGGACCACTTCTAAATTGTCCACGCTTTCGTGGTGCGGTTCGGGGGGCCGATACTTCGGCCCTTGGAATTAGCCCGGCGATCGCCTCCCTAATTAACGGGACCTGTGACATTTACGTAGCCCTAAATTGTCTTGTTTCAATATGTGAGCACTTTATGGACGAGTCCTCTGGTCAAGAGAATTTGTGGAAATGTTCGTATTTGGCTATCTCCATCCGTGGTTCGTCCCATCCGTCCGTTATTTGTCCGTGCTCTGTTAGTTTGTCCGCTTGTCCGTAGCTCACGCTACGTACATCCTGTCAAAGCGAAGCTAAGCCACTACTAATTTGGGGAAGCCCGAGATTGCTTGCCCTTCGGCTTTCCTTGCTGCCCATTTTAGGTCTCCACAGAGAAGCGAAGGCAGGCTATGTGTGTGTGGGCGTGTGTGTGTGTCCCGTTCGCGACCAGATCTTGAAGGCGAAGCTGGAGGGTTCCCCAATTTCTTCTTTTTCTCCGTGTTGTTGATATTGGCTGTGTAGTCGACGACGACGCGCGCGTATAATAGCAACTTCCCAAACGTTCGTCGGAACGGCGCCAAGCTGCCAAGCCGTATGTGTGTCAACCAGAGTCCTGACGTTTGTCGCTGCTCGTGTCATTGCGGCCGAGGCTTGGCCTCCCGGAAACCACACGACGGGTTTTCGCTCGGCTAATGGCCGGACCGCTTCTCATGCAATCCGTCATCCTTCGGAAGGCGACGCTGAACGCCATTTGCCTCGTTGCATCGTGGTCGCCCTAAACGATGGAGCACCCGCTTCCTACTTCCGTTCGGCAGTTGAGTGCAGCAAGGGCAAGTGGTGGGAGTTGCTGTCTAGCGAGCTATAGCGGTTAGAAACCAACTGAGAGGGCGGCCGAGATGCATTCACTCGCGCGCGTCGACCGCCGCTTCGTGGGCGCTGCACGGAACACCTACCAGGCGGCCGCTGTCATCCGACATCATCTTAGGCCGAAGTTTATGTAACTCACCCAGCGTGCACCGTAGCAGTAGAGCTTGAACCCCCCATCCAGCAAACTGTTGCTGATATGCACTCTCCCAGAAGAAGACTCACTGATGAATAGTTCTATGCAGCATTGGCGGACAGGAAAGCACGCGTTCGGAAATTTATAACTAAAAATAAAAATACTACACTCACAGACGCGTAGCGAGATTTTTGTCGGGAAAGTTTAACCATGTATGTCCGCGCGTGCATTTGCATGCATGTATACTCTGTACACGTGCGTGTGTATACGCACATGATAAATGGAAAATTTAATCAAAGTTCATGGTTCTCCCGCTCCCCACCACCCCACTGTGGCTTTACCAATGGATACTGCGTTAGAACTTCGATGCGGTATTTCATAAAACCCGTCTCACAACAAGCCAGTGGCGGTATTTCGAAAATGCCCCCCCCCCCTTTTTTTTTTCCCCGAAAAATGTTTAGTTTTGCATGCATTTATAAGCACGCCAACATTCAAACAAAAACACGGCCCTTTAAGATTGGTTGAACCCCTCCCCCGTTCTTCTCGGCATCGCAAAAAAAAAAAAAGGAAGTTCAGACTACGGGCCTGCTGCACGCCACTTCCTTGGAACGAACGGGTTCCCACGCGTGGCGTGTCATATCGCGTCATTCGTCCGCGGAGGAGACACGCGAGCCCTCTGGTGTCGCCTACCATTAAGCATCATTTATCAGGCGCCACCTCGGTGTCTTCTATGGACAGCCAGAACCTCGTGACACTCTGTCCGGCTCATTTCTCGTCTTTCAAAATACTCCTTGACGCAGCCTACTCATGGGGCAGCAGCTGCATCGACGGCCCTGAGCTTCGAGATGCCCATATGGGCCTCATACCAGCTGCTGAATTATTCTTTTCATCTGTAGCTTTTCTTTTTTTTTTTTTGTCACAGTTCACACACACGCGCGCACACGCCACACACACTACATCTTTTGAAGAGATGCATTCAATTTATTTTTTTTAATTCAATTTTCAGAACACAGAAAGCAATGATGGCACATACAAAGTGTATCTAACTGATTTAACTGAATAAAAAGGGCAAATAAAAAAGGGGTTGAGAATTAACAGTTCCGTTGCAACATATGCAACGGAGCAACATATGCAACAAATGCAACATATGCATTTATCTTTAAAAAATTTATGTTGTAAACTTATGTTCCTCCATTTCATTCACTGTTTTTTATTCACACGACAAGGGCGAATAACGGTGAATGCATCCATATTTAGTAAAGTACTTAATCGGAAGAATCTTGAATATTGATTGGTCTGTGACCAAGCCCGCCGCCCTCCTGCGCTTCAAATCTGGTTGCATTATCTTTCAACGTGGGGAGGTGCTTTCTCAGAATTTCACAGTATATGTTGTATTTACGCAATCGTAGTGCAAGGAGTGACTTTTCGTTGCATTCAGGATAAAAAGATAATTTCAATATTGGATTCTGACATGAGGGCCAGCCTTAGACAGCAAGAATTTGACAAAGCTCTCTGTGCACGATACTGTAACACGACTTCATTTGGTTTTGTTAAGGCCTGGATGCGGTGGCAAGCTGTGCTGTGTTGTATTGCTTTTTCTTGCTACGTAGGCTGATGGTCACGATTGTGGGGTGTTGGATGCCAAAGTTAATGTGGCGTCTTGTTGAGTGTGAGCGGGATAGAACTGACGTTATTTTAAAATATTGTCACGGTACTGTGCCATGCTTTGCAGCTGGAACCGTTAACGCCATTTACGTAAGTTAGAGCCAACTGATATGAGCCTTAAACTTCCGATGGACCCGTCCTATCAAGCAGGGAAATATGTGATGACACGTATGCGCGTGCCTTGTGTGGCTACACAGTGCCTCAATACTGGTAGCACATAAGCGGCAGGTTGTTATTTTGGCTCACCAGCAGCTGTCCATGCACACGTTGCTCTGTTTCACAGTTTTTTTTTTGTTTCTTGTAGGAGGCAAATGTTTCGCCTCGTGAGTGATAAAGCTTGCCTACTGCACCCTCTTCTGTGGATTCCATTGACAATAACACCTCGTGACAATATATTACACATTTTATATACTTCTCACACTCAAGGACATACAGTGCTGACGAATTAAAACATGCCAAAGCTTTTACAGTATTGACTTGTACGTGCACTTGCGTAAGATAAGCTGGTCGTGTTACTACAAATCGCACCTTTATAAGTGCTGTACCCTCTGTAAAAGTGTGCTCTTAAAGGAAATTGCTGCTTAGATAGAGCTGACTGTACTATGATTGCTTTTGTACTGGAACTCTTCAGCCCTGTTTACCTCTAATTTAAACAAAACTTATATTAAACAAAACACATTTTCCTGGTCTCTTCAAGTTTTGTTTAACGGGGGTCTACAGTAACGATATCTCTGATTGAGGTGTTCTGTTGAAAGTTACACCACTATGAGATCAACTAATTTTAGTTTAAATGAATGTGTATTAATTAGCTCTAATTGGTTGCATTTCTCTATGTGAGCATTGTATACTTCTGTCGTAGAACTCTGTCATGCTGATCAGGTTTTTTTTTTCTTCGCCTAATACGGGAAGCTATTTACCATAATGCGAGTTCTTCAAATGTGTCGCGTAACTGTTGTCGCTGTACTCCTTTTGCGTAGGCAGAAACGCGTGCCTGATTTTGCGTCCTTTATGTTTTTCCTGGTTATCATCAGCTGCACTTACAAAGTGCCTTGTTCTCTTTGCTGTCGTTTCAGGCGAAGAGGCTATCCACCGGTGAGATGGCGGCCATCAAAGTCATCAAGTTGGAACCAGGTCAGTGTGGGTTTGTTACTACTTTTTGAAGAAGTGGTGCTTTGGGCATTAATTTTATCTGCACCACTAGATCAAGTGTCTCGTAGCAAACTGGTGGCCACGCTGTGTTCCGAGTGACGCAGTCTTATGCATACCGAATTGGTCGTGGTATTTCTTCACAACCTGCCAGTTTTACTCTTGGTGAGTATAGCCAAGTACAACTGATACAGTTGAGCCTTGTACAATTGACAAGCATAGCTAAGAGTTTGCCTTTAGAGTGTGAATGCCGCTGCCTTGCAGCCCTGTACAAATGAATAAGCACTCTATATTGATGTCATAAGCCGTACGGTCAGCGACCCTACCGATGGAGAACGTTGAGAAATACGTGAGTGAGACTATTTCTTCAGTTTAGAGGCAATTGGCTACATCGCTTCATCTAAGCGAGATCTCTTCTGCCTTCTTAAGTTGTGTGTAGCGGTCCTTAGGCCCTTCGGAAACTACTGAAGGGTCAGTAGACAGTGTAGAAAAGGCCCCGTGTCTGGATTTACCGCTGGACTTTTTGGTATACGGTCAGTGGATGGAAAAAGGGTGAAAAAGACATTCCAGGTCACTTTTTTTGTAGTTTCTGCTTGATGGTGTAATTGGTTATTGCTTGGTTAAGAACATGCCTTTTTACGTTAGTTTTATTATTAACGGAAATTTGGCCTCACCGAGCATCTTGGCACTCATTCCAGAGTCACGGCCACATGCGGGAGAAAACTCCAAAGGAAACAAAGTCATATATTACAGTCACTTTTCAGCTGATGGCACTGCCATCATTTCTTTGTGACTTCTTGTATCATAGCTTGTCTCTACCGATTATAAATGTGCTGTGCTAAGATGTAAAAGAGGACCCTTTTGATACACATTCATGATTTAATAAAGCAGTGTTATGCGAAGACAAAAGTTGAGCAGGGACCGAACTCATGCCTAGAAGAACTGCTGTTGAATTTGCCAGGTGCTTGATCCTAATTTAAGAAATTCTCATTTGAAGGACGAATTATTTGCACTTATATCAGACAAAAGCATGAGGGAACATTAAATGAGAAATGATAAAAAATGCTGGCCCGGTGAGAAGAAATTCTGTACATGAAATCAAGAGACTTTAAAGAGTGAGAATGTGGCTGTTCTGTTGACTATGCGGCAAGGGAAAATCACACTTATGGCGGTATGTATGTGTCCCACAAGGTATGTCTGCTTAGAACCGACTTTAGGTTCCTTTGTGTTCTCTCTCTCTGCTCTCCTTTCTTGTCATGACTGTGGGATGATTACGAATTTTATTGATGACACAGTGGCATGGCTTTTATCACACTACTGGTGAAGATGAAAGGGTTGTGCTCAGTTTCTTCATAATAAAGAAAAAGCTGTTTTTAAGGGGAGATGTGAATAGAAAAAAAAAGTTGCATTAATCTGCTTAAGGCATTGAAATTTTCTCTATGTATAGGCTTTTATGCTGATTTCAATTATGTAATTTGTTTGATGGTAAGTTGCACAGTGTTACTTTTATGTCATGACAATGTTTAACGTATTGTTGGTTTCGGGCAATATTTTATGCCACTAAGCATTTATGGTTTTCAGCCATTGATGGCACATTGCTCTCAATTAACTTTAGAATACAAATAACTATCAAGAATGTGTATTTAAGACATTTTCATGGAGAAGAGAAATTGTAATATGAGAATGCTTAGAGTCCTTGACCCATATTAGTTGTTCACTTTAGGTTCGCAATAATCATACAGGTGATGTCAAGTTTGAAAAAAGGTACTTGCACCCTTTGCAAAGAATATGTAGGCAAAATTTCATCACAATTGGGCTATCTGAAATACCAAAAACATGATGTATAAACTCGAGAAGATGCCGAAAAGTTGGTCTTGAGAAAATTGCATTTTAGAGGTATAAGTGAAAGATCATCTATGTGGAAAACATGTTTTTTAAGATTTCTTCTATAATGAGAGCTTGAAAATTATGATTAATTCAATCATGTTGCTTTAGTGAACTGATCATGCAAAATGCAATGGTAAAGAGACAGGTGACTATTTCCAGGGCACTCAGACAATGAGCTCCTATTAGTTTTTAGTATCCACTTGTGCTCTTTAAAAGTGATTTTAACCTACTTTGAGTTTAATTACAATGCTCAGTTGTTTTTTGTTTTTTTTTTTGTTGTGGAAGTAGAAAAACTATACTTGCCAAAGCGAACAAGAATGAAAAATATATAATTGAGGAAAAAAAAGTTGTGTTTTTTGACTCTCATCTCCCCTTAATCCTTGCCCTGCTTCAAAAAATATATAAAATTGTACATACTTTACTGGAAATCTTCAGTCTTCGTTGAAATTGCAGATTTTTTTCTTTTCAATCAATCAATTAATTTTTCTTTATTAATGTAGGGCATTGTAAGTAAATATGCAGAAGGAGGTCTCAAGGTAGTAAACTGCAGGCGGGACCTCCTATGTTAATAAAAAAAAAAAGCTAAAGTACGAATAATGAAAAAGAAAGTCAACAACATTTCGAAAATTTTTTTTACAAACAAAGCAAGATATAGGAAATTAACAAAATGTAGCAGTTATACATTTAATAGACACTTTTTCAATGTCTTAAAAACATGAATGTGCTTTATGTTTTTCATATCATGTGATAAAGAATTCCATAATAAATTGAGGAAACAAGAATGATGCCAATTTTTTCATAATTAGTGCTAACTTTCGGTAATGGCAGGTTATTGACGACTGCGAATTTTGTTTTATTGGTATTATTCAACGAGGCAGTAGGAAATATGTCGATAGTGATGGTGCAGTGGAAAACCTTGAAAAACAAAACACATTATAAACGTACATTTGGGAGACCGGTAATGCGTCAAGCTGGCAAAAAATGGGATGTGATGGCGACTGACGTGAAGCAAAAGTTATGAGTCGCATTGCTTGTTTTTGCAATACCTTCAACAGCCAAATGTGCACTGAGTATGAATTGCCCCATGATGTAATACAATAACTGAGATGACTGTGTATGTCTACAAAGTCTTGTAGACATAACGATAACATTATTTCAATTCTGTGTGGCTCCTCTATTTCACTAGTTATCCAGAAAAGTTAGCTCGAAGATGGCTTTACTGCATGGCAATACAATCAAAGATGGCAATAAAAAAGCCGAGGCACAAATGGCACGACATGGACAGGCGTGGACATCTTGTGTGGAAAAACACAACTGTGACAAGTATAGTCTTGACTGATTTCTTGTGGGGTAAACTTTTGTTGTTGACGATGAATATGATCATTCATCAGTTATTTTAGAACAAAGTCTCATGATTACTATAGTACTCGTGAATTGGTGGGAACAGGGTCTAAAAGAACAGTGTGTTGTTATTCTAGTCTACAGCCTAGAGTATTTAAGCTCGAACAAACCTTGCACAGCACCATTTTCTTTTCACGATGTTCATTGACCATCAGTTTATTAGCATTGCACTTGCACTGTCAAAAAAATCTTGTTGCCATGGTATGTCATTATGTAGGTGGTAATCAATGACATAGTCTGGAGGCTGGTTGGGGGTCGCAGTGCACCCCTTCCTCCCTGTGGTTCTTATTTGGTTGTGTGTGTAGTACTATATGTGCACACATACAACCACACCCGAACCTAGGATAGGTATGCCCACCTCTTTCGTCCCCCTTCTTTCGGAACGGATTTCTTGCTTCATCCTTGGTAGCAGAATTTCCAGTCATTTATTCTTCATTATTCTTCTAAGTTTGCAGATTGCTGGAACGCAATCTGCTGGTATAACAGAACACCAACATTTTTGTTTGGTGTCCTTCGATGTGTTGTGCATTTAGGAAAATTAAATATCGGGGATGTCATGCGTGGGAAAACCAAAAGTATATGAGGCACACCCTGTTGGGAGGCTTGGGCTTAAATTTTATTGCCCGAATTCTCGAAAGTGCGCCTTAATGTTAATATATGGGTGTTATTGGGTTTCTTTGCGCCCTTTAAGCTGGGTCCACCATGGCTTGGAATTGAACCAGCGTCCTTGAGCTTAGCAGCATAACTAAATGGTTATGACGGCAGATAAATGCTCAATTTAGCAATGGTCTAGCATTGTTTCGTTTTAATAAAAAAGGCCTACACCTGCAATGTACATACTGTCTGCTGTTCTTTTCTAGGTTGGCGGTACGGGACATGTGAGTTTTATTTCTTACGTGTGGGCATTTTATTGGCTTGCTGATCCGCTTTTTTGAAACCTACCACGAGTGTTTCCCGTTTTACTTCAAGCAAGAAAAGGCATCCAACTCAATTGCATACATATCTGCATGCGGGCGACTCATATTACTAACGTGTGTGTTTTTATATTTAACCCAGATGGTCTGTTCTTTGCCTTACATTGTTAACACATAAAATTTTGGTTTGCAGTGTGAACTATTACACTTAATCTTTCAAAATACAAGTGACTTTTCTTTTTTTTGTATAACATCTAACGCCTGCTCCTTTATGAACGATTCACTCCACTGTGGGGTTATTATTATCATTATTATTTTACTGCTCTATTGTTAAAGCAGTAATGTGGCATTTCGCATCTGCAACACCTTTATGCAAGTTTCCTAATTTTTGCCAAACCACACCAGTAATTTGCTAAGATGTCATTATAATTTCTATTAATATTGTGACTGAAGCATTAAAAAGCTTTCCTACTTTTCAACCAGGAATGCAGGATACTACATTGAAATTCGGCCTAACAGTTGCAGCACTGTCTGATGCTACTAAATAAAAGTGCCTATAGTGGCTTGAAATTATAGGTATCAATTGTATTTATTCTCTGTGGTTAGTTTTATATTAACAGATAAGTGGGCAGCTGTTGCTTTCAGCATGATAAATTCAAGCTTGGTGAACCATACTTCATATCAGCATGTAACATGTTTTCATACAAAACAACTATAAAAAATGCTGCATTTTTTTACACAATCTTGCTTTCTGGAATTCAGAACAACTCAAAAGAAAAATTTAAGTAACTGTAATAAAATTAGTGGCAGGCTGGTGCATTTCCCATTCAACACAGGGGAGGGAAACAGAAAAGTAGTGTAGCGAAAAATAAACCTCTGAATTGTTGTAAAATGTAAGCTTACAAGTACCTTAAAAGCAATTTGATGTTGAATGACTGTCATGTGAGGGTGTTGGTATACGTTCACGGTGACGAAGCACTTCAAAGAGTGGAGAGTTTCCTCTCCTGTGTTTTTTTAAAGTCTCCATTCTTCATAGTGGTTCACCATTATAAAGCAGTTGATTTAAGCTGCCTTTTTGAGATCACTCACTAGCCCTGCTTGGATTGCAGGGGACGAGTTTGGAGTCATCCAGCAGGAAATCCTGATGATGAAGGACTGCCGGCATCCGAACATTGTGGCCTACTTTGGTTCCTACTTACGGCGTGACAAGCTCTGGATTTGCATGGAGTACTGCGGAGGAGGATCGCTGCAGGACATCTACCACAGTAAGCTCCTCAACATTGCATTCGCTTACCTCCTAAGGAAGTTTTGCTTTGGTGCTGTATTTTTACGGATTTCATCACGGTGCAATTGTTGCGTCGCGTTGCTGTTGGAAATGAAGACATAGGAACAAGGTGGTTAATTAACCAAATCAAGTTTCCTTTTGTTTATTGACCCAATGAAAGTACAGCTGATACTCAAACACACCCATACAAATTCCGGCTAGCGAATAGCGTGCAGCCTCCATCATGACAGCCTCAGCAGGATGCTGCATGTTTCATAGCATTGAAGGCAACCATGTGCACAATATCTGCCTTTTTGGTTGCCATAGGGATCGAGAACAAAAAAAAACAAAACTTCAACTGGAGTTTGTTGTGGCCGAAGTTTTCCTTGAAACTTGGTGTGTCCATGTCTTCGAATGAATTGTTTATTCCAATGTAGTGACAGATGCATTGATAGGGCTCATTCTTGGCTTTTACTACAAAGCTTTGCAAATAAGAAAGAGCGATTGCTGCTTTACAAAATGCACCTACCACTCAAATAGCATTGTGAATATAAAGGTAGATAGTATTGTCACGTGCACATGTGTCTTTATTTTTAATGTGATCAGGTTTCACTCACAAAAACTGTTGCTGCAGCATGATGTAGTGTGTACCAAAATGTTTGAAAAACATATAGATCTCTATATACTATTTGAATAGGATACGACGTGACATTATTGCCAATAATGGTTACTTCAACCTATGTCCATCTGTAGTTTGGAATAGTAATACAAGATAGAATGGGATATTTATTTATTTGGGATGTCATTCTCGCAATCGTGTAGGTACCATAACCCTAGTTAGCAGCCTCATATTCATTATCTTTTCGGCATTGTAACCACTGAAGTCTTCTAGCTGACCCTCTATGAAAAAATATATATAAGTAAATAAAACTCTTGTTGATAAAAATAATAGTTTCAGCTAGCGTAGATGTGGAACAGCCCCAGTGAAATATTTTGATTCTGAAATAACAGTGGATGTATTGAAATAATCTTACAGAAATGTGCATGTGTAGATCATTGAAGCTGGCAAATATGCTGCCCTTGCTGCTCCCTAAAAATGGCACAAAATTTAAAACTCGGAGAAGCTTCCTGGACTGACTTCCTTTGTGCAGGGCTCTAAGTTAGCATCTGGGGCATACTGATAACCCTGAAAACTATTGTTCGGACCTTTTCTCTTATCTGTGAATCACCAAGGGCCCTTGTTGTGTGCTCAGGCGTGAAAATGCTGCATGTAAACAATTTCCAATTACCAGCTCTGCATTTGAATGTTTTGATAGCAATACTAATCATTTGGGACTGATTTAAAAGGATTGATATTTCATCTTGTATGATCTTTCGTTGTGCACCAAGCATTTTGTGTTGTCTCACTTAGGGGGGGAATGTTTGCGATCGTTGTTGTTAATGGGCTCACCACGTCTTGCTTGAGTATGTCACACCCCAGGAGACATACTGTAGAACCTCGTTAATTCAAAGTCAGTGGGACCGTGAGGAACCTTCGAATTAGGTGGGTTTTCTAATTAACGAAACATACAATAAGTGAAATGAAAGGAACTTGGAATTATTCAAAGTAATCAGGGCTGGCCACTTGCGGTGCCGAACAGTTCGCAGCTCCAAAAGTTGCGTCTTCCAGGAGCACCTGCTTTCAATTTTGTTGTAAACACGGTGGAATGGCGGGCCTTACTGCTGCCAGCGGGAAAAAAAAAAAAATGTCGTGTCTACTGAAATGCATGCCTGCAAAAAACAAGGCATCTTCACTGAAACACAGTAGCAGAGTGTACTAGAACAGAGGATTGCCCGGACCTAGCTTCTAAAACCCCAAAGGGGGTAAATCTGCTTGTGGCACTGTGATCAGTAGTCTGCAGTAGTTTCTTTTTTGTTTGAATTGAGCCATATTACAGCAGATGTTTCGTACCAACCGAGTTAGCATAGTACTCTACAAAGCGCATGTGAGCATTCCCTGCAATGAAAGGATGCACACTCAGAGCAAAGCATGAAGATTGATTGGCTCGCCAATATACACCAACTATGCCTTCCTGCATAAACTATTGTAGAATATCCCGAGCAAGCCTCCCTCTTCCTGTACCCCCACCTTGTTGAAGAATGCACACCTATAATTTCAAAGAAATGCTCTATCGAATATACATGCATTCACTGGTTTTAATGACCAGGAGGGAATCCTCAGGTCAAGTTTCACGTGTTTATGACAAAGAGGAAGACGTTCTTCAAATGTCCTGATAGCGCTGAATGCATCTCGAAGACAAAGCATTGTAAAGGCATTAAATTGTGCACAGATTTTAAGACTCGGAATTTGGGTTCCTAGGAACCACTGCGGCAGGATTTTGTAGCAGAGAACAAGTTAAAAAAAAAATGATGTGAGGAAAGGGGAGGCATTTGCTTTGTCAATGGCACATACTTCGAAGAGAGAGAGAGAAACGAGAAACAAGGAAGGCAGGGAGGTTAACCAGATGCTAGTATCCGGTATGCTACCCTACACGGGGGTTGGGGAATAGGGGGTTGAAAGAGAAAGGGAGAGTAAAAAATAAATAAGAGAAAAACACCGACACACACGCACACACAAAATCAGTCCACTCAGAGGCGTTCCGACAGGCCAGTAGTTCGTAAGAAGCCCAGTAGCGCTTGCACGGCTTTCTTCTGTGACGATGAGTCATGACGATGGCGCAGTATACTTTCTTCTGACAGCGGCTGGTCATCTAACCTGTTTAGTTTATTAGAAAGATGTTGTCTTTCCAGGTTGTATTTCGGGCAGTCACACAGGATATGTCGAATTGTTTCTTCATCTCCGCAGTGTGCACAGTCGGCAGTGTCGGCCATACCTATGCGGAACGCGTACGCACGGATAAACGCAACTCCCAACCATAGTCTGCACAGAGCAGTAGCGTCGCCTCGTCGAATTTTTGTTGGAAGCTGCATGCTTAACGTTGGATCAAGGGATCGTAATCTTGCATGCGTAAAGAGAGGCTCATTCCAAAGAGCCAGGGAGCGTTGGCGAGCAAGCATGCGGAGCCTCCTAGCAGCGTCCGTCCTTGAGAGAGGTATTGACTGGTCGTTGTCTTCTGTATGGGCTGAACGGGCAGCTTGATCAGCTCGTTCGTTACCGATAATTCCACAGTGGCTTGGCAACCACTGAAATATAACGTGGTGCCCTTTCTCTGTTATATGGTGTAGCATTTCTGCTGTTTCAAATACCAACTGCTCGTGTGGACCACGGCGTAGATTTGACAGAAGTGACTGCAGTGCCGGCTTGCAGTCGCAGAAAATCGTCCACCGTTGCGTGCTCTGGTCGTTAATGAAATGCAGCGCAGCGCGAAGCGCTGCAAGCTCTGCTGCCGTTGTTGTGGTTGCATGAGCTATCCTAAATTTGATGGTTGTGGCGTGCGTTGGAATAACGACCGCCGCTGTTGAGCTGTTTGGCAGGACGGAGCCGTCGGTGTAGACGTGGGTGCAGTCTTGGTACTTTTCGTACAGCAAAAGTAAGGCGAGCTGCTTGAGGGCTGGTATTGAGAAATCTCGTTTTTTCTGGATGCCTGGTATTGTCAGGTTGATGACTGGCTGTTTGAGGCACCATGGAGGAATTGAAGGTCTCGCCGCGGGCGTAAAACCAGTTGGTAGGGAGTCACCATGTGTAGTTATTGTTCGACAAAATGACGTATGAGGTCTATCCACTGGCAGAGAGGCTAGGTGGTGATGGGGAGTCCGGTCCACATGCCTTATGTGTGTTCTCAAAGCTTCAATTTCAATGTGGGTCTGCACGAGGTGGTCTTTGGCTATAGCTATAGTCGCCATTGTTGAGGCACCCTGAGGCAGACCTAGACATATTCGAAGCGCCTGTGCTTGAACGCTTTGTATCATGCGTCGACTTGTTTTGCTGGCATTTGATAATGCAGGCAGACTGTATCGTAAAAAGCCAAGGAAAAGCACCCTATACAGTCGTAACATAGCGTTAGGCTGCATTCCCCAAGTCTTTCCAGCGAGAAACTTGAAAAGATGGCATATGCCTGTCAGTCGCTTTTTCAAATACGACACATGAGGGCTGCATGATATGTCTCTGTCGGACTATGACACCTAGAAATTTGTGAGATCGACGATACGGTATATTTTGACCATTAATTGACACTCTGTAATTCGACATGGGTTTGCGTGTAAATGCCAGAAGAGCGCACTTTCCGGAGGAAATTTCCAGGCCTCGCTTGCGTAGATACAAAGTAGTTGCAGTAGCAGCTCTCTGTATTCTCGCTCGTAACTGCAGGCGAGTTACCGCAGATGTCCAGATGCAGATGTCATCAGCATATGTTGATAGATAAATATTGTTTGGTAGGTGCATATGGAGAGCGATTAGTGTTATATTGAATAGCACAGGGCTCAGTACACCACCCTGAGGGACGCCACGACAGTTGAAATGTGTAGACGTGTTCCCGGTCTCTGTACTCACAAAATAGGATCGCATTTGGAGATAACTGCGTATCCACTTAAACATTCGGCCACCGACTCCAATCTCTTCTAGTGTGGTAAGGACGGCTTCATGTGTAAAGTTATCATAGGCTCCTTTGACGTCAAGGAACAGAGAGGCGCAAAGACGCTTATGGCCTTTCTCGTGTTCAACGTACGTGATTAGGTCGATGACGCTATCGATCGATGATCGACCACGTCGAAAACCAGCCATGGCATTTGGGTAGATCTCATGATACTCCAAGTACCACTCGAGTCGGCCGAGAATCATTCTCTCCATCACTTTACCCACGCAACTAGCCAATGCGATCGGGCGATAGGAGGAGAGTTCTAATGATGATTTGCCAGGTTTTAGTAATGGTACTAGACGACTAGTTTTCCAACTTAAGGGGACAGTGCCCTCTAGCCAAGAATCATTATGTAGCTGAAGTAGAGCTATTCTCGCGCGCTCACCCAGATGACACAAGGCTCTGTAGGAGATTCCGTCAGGTCCTGGTGCGGAGGTCTGTTTGCATGAAGCGAGTGCTGCTTTGAGCTCCTGAATGGTGAACGGGAAGTCCATACAGGAGTCACGTGGTGGCAGACAATTGCTCGAAAGTGATGAGCTGCTGATGGCTGTAGTTTGCCCTGATAATCCGGCACAGAACTCTTCAGCAACGTCCACATCTGGTCGATTTTGGTGAAGGGCTAAGGCCTTGAATGCTGACTTCTGAATGGGCGATGACCGCAAACGTCTAACCGTCCTCCATATCTGCGATAAAGGCTTACGAGGGTCGAGTGACTCGCAGAAAGTAATCCAGCGTTGGAATTCTAGCTTGTCCAACCGACGTTTGATCTTCTTCTGCATACGTCTAGCAGTCCGTAAATGTTCTATGTCCTTCGTGCGCCGGTACCTTCTTTCAGCTCGTCATCGCAAGGCTCGAAGCCGCTCCAGCTCTATGTCGATGTCCATGATTCTTACAGGGCATGGGATCGTACACACAGTCTCTTTTACAGTGCTCTTGATGGCCTCTTGAAAATCGGATATGTGTTCTTGGCATTGGTCTTCCATACAGGACTGAAATTTTTTCCAGTCCACTCTTTTAACGATGTCGCGCACTTTAGGAGGCGACAATCCTCTGATCTTGACGTATGTTGGAATATGATCACTCCCGTGCGTTTCTATATCCCTGAACCATTCAGTATGTTTCACTAGGCTTTGCGAAACAAAAGCCAAGTCGAGACAGCTACTGTATGTGGAGCCACGTAAAAATGTAGGACTGCCATCATTCAGTAACCAAAGTTGGTTGTCGGAGGCAAAAGACACCAAGCTTCTGCCCTTCATGTTGGTATTCTGACTTCCCCATAATGTATGATGAGCGTTAAAATCCCCAATGATAACACACGGGTCAGGAGGTAACGCTATGATGTCTCGTAATCTTTTTTGATCGAAACGGCTTGATGGTGATAGGTATGCGCCAACCACAGTGATGTTGAGCCTCCTCTTTTTCACTCTTAAGCATACGTATTGGTTTCGGTCATGAGGTGGTACAGGTTGAAGGATGTAAGTGAGGTGTCGGCGAATGTACACCAGAACCTTGCTGCTTTCAGTAACAGTAGACGACATAAAAGGTTCGTATCCCGAGAGTCGTATTGCACTCGATAAGTTCGGCTCACAAATGACGATTACGGGAAACATATTGACGTACACAAATGGACGAAAGTCACCAATGCGCGATCTCAGTCCCCTGGCATTCCACTGCAGTATTGCTGCTTTACGAACCTCATCCCGGAAAGACAGTGGTGGGTTAGCCATAGGTCTACTCTAGGGCTGCTAGCACTGGACTAAGCGCGTCCAGTACTTGAAGGGCACTTTTGGCTGACGGCGTATTCATGTCGCTTAACAACATGCGAATGGTATCCACTAATGATCTTAGCATCACCATCACGCGATGATCTGGCTTCCCAGCCGTTGCAGCATTTTGCGCTTGTTCTTGAGGCGGCTTTTGTTGAGGCTCTACTGGTCGTGTAGGCGGCTTCTGTTGAGGCTCAACAGATCGTCTAGGCTGAAGGGGTGGCCATTCCTTTGGAGAGAGAGATCTTCCAGCATCTTCTCTTTCAGCGCAGATGTTTGCCGAGCTAGGAGCCGCGCCTGTCGATTTCACTTGAGCTTCTGACTTTCTCGTCAGATTTTGCACTGTCCTTCGTGAGGACCTTCGACGATGGCGGTGCCTTCGCCTTACTTTTTGCGCAGCTTCTCTGTGAGTCGAGTTGTCTCGCACCATTTGCCTCAGAATATAAATCTCTTTCTTAATCTGAGGACAGTCCTTGGAGGAAGCACTGTGAGCTCCTTGGCAGTTGGGGCATTTCAACGTAGTTGCATACAGTCGTCTTCTGAGTGGTGTTCAGCGCATCGGGGGCACACTGCGGAATTTCTGCAAACGCCCTGCACGTGGCCAATCTTCTGGCACTTGAAACACTGCATAGGCTTCGGAATAAATGGGCGAACCTGGTGACGGAAATGGCCCACCTTCACGTAAGAGGGAAGACAGTCACCTTCGAATGTTAGTCGCACACAACGAGAGTTGCCTAGGCGACCAGCATGCACAATGACGTTGTTTTCACTCACTGGTTTTATCAGTACAGGAAGATCTTCATTGGCGATTTCAGTGTCTATGTCATAGATAACTCCTGTTACGGTGTCACCATTCGCTGGTATGATGGATCGGACTTTGATGTTTCCCAGCTCTGACACATGCTGTAGCGTGTTCAGTGCACTTGGGTTCCTCACGTCGATTGCCAAAATATTCTTCCTCGTGTTTATCCTGATGTCCTTAATCTCGTTAGGCACAATGTTTTCAAGGTACAAGGACAGTGCTTGCCTGTTGAGGAAGCGTAGATTGGCAGTAGTAGTCTGCGGCACAAACAGAATGGAGTGAGGCCATCGCTGAGGCGCTGTCCTCACAGTGGCTGTACTTGATGCTGATGATGCGTTCATGATTCTTCGTTTGGCCTTGCGGTAGAGCACAGGTTCGAAGTCGTCTTCAGAGGACTCGTAGTCTGATGCAGAGTACAGCTCGGTGTCCTCGCTCTCACTAGATGGATTACCACGCTTTCTTGAAGCAATGCCCGTGGATGAACTGGTACTGGGCGGGATCTCCGGGAATTGTACATCCATGACCACGATGTAGGGGGCTGGAGACCCCGCTGTTGCGCTGTGGAACGCAGAAAAAACAGCACAGACCGCAAGATGTGTTCCACAAGAGAATCACTTCGTCTTCCTGCTCACATACTTCGAATCTTCCAAAAAGGGGAAGGGGGTGCCTGTTTGAGTAGGCGTGCTTGCTCGAGATTCTATGGTATGCAAGAACAGATAGCAGAGGCAGTTGCCCTTCTGAAATTTGGTGCTGATGAGTTGGTGCACACTGAATGCCTTTTCGCTGTGACTATAAACTTACACTGACTTACTGTCATTTTGTGCTCACTTGCAGTCACGGGCCCCCTGAGTGAGCAGCAGATAGCGTACATGTGTCGGGAGACGCTCAAGGGCCTTGCCTACCTGCACTACGTGGGCAAGATGCATCGGGACGTCAAGGGGGCCAACATCCTGCTCACCGATGACGGTGATGTCAAGCTTGGTAAGTGCACCATCGCCTTTATTTATTTGCGGGCTTGCCGTCTTCCCTGAAAGGCCGCTCAATGGGAGCATCGGATAGTGCGAGCATGCTCCGCACCACACTAGCTTGTGGCGTAGCTGGGCACACCTGTGACTGGGCTGGACGTTGATGATGTGAGAAAGGTGTGAGCAAGATGGTGAATGGAATAGAAAAAATGGCCAGCATGCTTCTGTTTTTTTTTTTTCTATGATTTCGTGTTTCTCACTCCTTCCTTAATCAACTTGTTTATTGTGGGCAGTTATGGTAGGGCGTGTCTGCAATGGGTTGTAGGGTAAGTGTGGACTGTCTGCGTAAGGGGCGTTATATTAGGACCATATCGCAATAATGTTTTCAGATGCACTTTGTGAGGACAAAGTTTCTGGCATGCATGTATTGCAGCTATCATGATGTCAGTGCCTTTAATCTATTATTCTGAGAATATTCTTCAGGCCCCTGGCATTGTATAAGTAAGAGAGGCACTTCAATATTTGTGTCACATTATAGAACAAACTGAAGTACGTATGATTTAATACACAGGAATGAAGTCTTTGAATTAAGTTTGAAGGGTAAGCATTATGGTAATACTATATAAAATGTCTTGTTATGAAAAAAAATACAAATACTATGAGGTTCTCAGTAGAAATTTTTTATGTGATGTAAAACTTGAGTGGATGTGACATACAGAAAACTGCACTTATCAATTCTGGTTGTCCTTCAAAGTTTTTTGTTTTGCCATTAGGTTGTTTTGCTTATATGTTTTTTTTTCCATATCTCTTGCAGCTGATTTTGGCGTGTCTGCCCAGATCACTGCCACCATCAGTAAGCGGAAGTCATTTATTGGAACACCCTATTGGTGAGTGTCCACTCAACAGGCTGACAGTGGTGTAAAGCACAGTTAAACCTTTACAAATAGAACATTGGTATAAAGAATTATTCTGTATGACAAAGTAAATCTGGAATTTAGTTAGCCTGCTTTTTATTTCACTTAGTTTTGTATGACTAGCACACACTTAAAAAAAAGGTGAGGTTTGGGAAAATAAGCACAGTCGAACTCACTTATAGCTATTCCAAATCTTAACGATCTATCGGTTATAACCACTATATTTCGGTTTCATGTTTACATGTTTCATGTTTACATGTTTCAAAGCCCTCTACTTTTACAACTAACACTTCCGACACAGTTGGGGTAAAAATATGGCACATACAGTAAAACCTCGTTAATTCGAACTCAGTTATTTTGAAATCCCGCTTAACTTGAAGGATTTCCGCGATATCATATTTTGCAATGTGAGTTTGAGTGGATAGTTTGAAGCGGCGGCTGGCACCAGTTTGGTTAATTCTAAAATTTTGGGTGCAATGTCCCAGTTTCAGATCACGATGTCATCGCAAATCCGTCGAAAAGACGGCCCTTAATGGCCACAAGGCAATGCAACGTAGCGTTACTAATGAGTGGTAGCTAGCCAAAGCACCACAGCCTTGCTACTTCCAGTGCTGCCCGCGTGTCACGACTGTGTTGCAGTGAAGATGTCTTGTTTTCTGCAGGCGCGCATTTCAGTTGATCACGGCAGCGTTTTTTTTTTTTTTTTTTTTTTCATTCTATGGCAGCAGCGAGGCCCACTGTTCCCCCGTGTTTGCGGCAAAATTAAAACCAGGTATTGCTGGAAAACATAACTGTTGGAGCCCCTAGCTAGCCGGTACAGCGAACGACGAGCACTGATTACTTTGAACAGTTCTAAGCTCCTGGCATCCCACTTTTCGAATGTTCTGTTAATTCGAAAACCCGCTTAATTCAGATTTCTCGCAACCCCAGTGACTTCGAATTAACGAGGTCTACTGTATGTAGCGAGAAAAAAAAAAGTTAAAACGTTAGCTGATGAAGTATTGGATAACCACAGCTTTGGGGTGTCAAGTATGTGATTGCTTCAATTTTGTTGGGTAAAGGCAGAAAATTTCGCTCGTATGCAGTTGATTAAAGCATTGATGAAATATTGATGCACTTGCCTTCGCATGAGAACATTTTGCTTAAGTGTGTGAGGCTTTGTGGGTTGTGATAGAGAGGAACTACTCAGTGCAGGGAACATAGCCTTGTAAAATAATCCAGAGGATAAGCAGATATGTAGGCTAGTCTAGCACAGGCGTATTGTAACTTATGGATTATATACGGTTGACTGTAATGAATTTATACTTGAAGGGACCTCTGAATTTTGTTCGAATTATCAAGAAGTTCAAATTATCAGAAGTTCTCAGATGGATGACTCAGGGTGAGGTGACATTATGGTCAGGCATTGATTTTGTCACATTCAAAAAATTTTTAAGTGTCTTTATGCCCTAACTGCACGCAGTGAACACAAAGCAGAGGTGTAAAGTCCGTAAGTTTATTGACCATTTACTGCTGATCAGACCTTCTAAATAAATCGTGAATTTCTAACTGCTTCATTGCTGTATATATGTGCCTTCAGCACAAGGTCTCTATACCAGTTGAGAAGCATTACCGTTTACCATGCATTTACTTCATCTTAAACATTCGTTTGCTTGTAAAGCCTTTTTCCTTCAAGTCTTCAGGTGCTTATTTTCCATTTATTGACTGTTAGGATTATATAAGCACACAAAATTTTAAATAGTAGTGGGAAAGCAGCTGATATTTTATGGTATGGACCTGCAAAAAGTATGAATTAACCTAATGATGGAGTTTAAATTAAGAGGCTTTTAAATACATTCAAAGAATAGAGGCCCAACCAAAAAAATTGTTTGAAATAATGGAAAGCATGAATTATCAGAGTTTGAATTATCGCAAGTCTACTTACTACAATGCTAGCCTGCCAACTATAGCTTAGGTCTGCTTACTAGAAATGAGCGTCTGCCAAAGGTAAAGACTAATGGAACAAAAACTGTTGCGCGTTTAACTCTTGTGACCAAAATAACAGCGTGTCGTTGACTCGCCCATGCATGTTAAACGCTCTCTAGCTTCTGTTCATATGGGCTCAGAATACCCATTTCACAGATAGTTGATCTGATGCACACTGCTTGGTTCCATCACCAGCATTCACTTTGTTGATACGCATGGATTTTGTTTTCTTTCAATGCATCCAGTTCTCATCCTTTATTATATTGTGATATGTTGATTTGCTTTGTTACACATGGTTGGAAGAAAGTCATGCTATAAATATACGATAAATATATATTTCAGGAAGGGGCATAGTAGAAGAATAGTCGCATGTTTTAAATCAGCACTTTGAAAAAGTACATAGGCTATGAATGTTTTATGAAAATCTGTTGATAAAAAAAATGTGTTTATGAAACAGGTTCCCAGCTAACATCAAGCCTACATGTCAATGCTCAGGTTTCAGTCTGAAGGTCAAGAAATGAGGCCTTGATCTTGATGCTGCGAAAAAGACTTTTCATACAATACATTAGCATAGTAAGCTTACTGTTTGTTTCTCATTAGTTTGCTTTTAATATCCATCTTTGGCACTGTACTTGTTATCATAGACAAGAGAAGAAAATTTATTGGCTTAATGGTAAAAATGAAGGGGAATCAAATTGCATTCTTTGTTTGTTTGTTTTTTTACCTCAAGGTCGCAGGTTGTTTGATCCCAGTCGTAGTGCTCTGATTCCGGTGTAGGCAAAATGCTGGAGGCTCATGTAGTTAATTAAGTAACTCCAGGTGGTTGAAATTTCTGATGGCATCCTAAGAAGGGTGCTCCTTAGTCATGATATTGTAGTTTTGGCACATAACTACTCCGAAATTCATAAATTTGATTAATTCGGCGTAACTTCATATAGGTCGACGTATACTGAGGGAGATCGCATAGTAAAAAACTGACTGGGGACTTCCTGTACATAGCATAAATATTTCAGGGGCAAAAGCAATAGCTCAGTGATTGCAATCACAAACTAATGGCAAAATAATGAATGCAGTGTGCAGTTTGAGAAGACAGCCAGCAGCCCACATTACAAAGAATCGCAGCGAATTGGCCGTGCTACTAAAAAAAGTAGTCCCACTCAAGCACTATTTTCACGCTCTAAAACATGTATTTCCAAGTAATTTCTTTATGATCGGTTTGTTAGAGTTGTTGTTATGAGGAGAAAGCCAAACTCTTGCTTTCTGTAGCACTGCATGCTATCCAACAGTAGCGTTGCTGGCAGTCTGTTTTTGTTGGTGATGGGTATTTGTTTCATCCGCCTTTGACGAGAAAATGCCGCAGTCATCTCAGTACTCGATCAATGGTACAGATGGGAGACAACGATGATATGGGTTTGCAGGATGGCGCCCGAAGTAGCGGCCGTGGAGCGTAAAGGCGGCTACAACCAGCAGTGCGACATATGGGCGGTGGGCATCACGGCGATCGAGCTGGCCGAGCTGCAGCCCCCGATGTTCGACCTGCACCCCATGCGGGCCCTCTTCCTCATGTCCAAGTCGGGCTTCAAGCCACCCCAGCTCAAGGACAAGGTCAAGTGGTGGGTGTTATCTCTTTTTTTCATTTGTCAAAGTTGGGGGCCAAGATTCTAAATGTAGGGCATCACCACATGAGGTACAGAAAGGGTCAGTGGAGTGGCACACTATTCGTATGTGTTTTGTCACGTCAAGTTGAGGCTAGGTGCTGGATTGGCTTAGTTGTGCATGGAAATTGTGGGTTGACCGTGCATTTTGAGAACACCCAATTAGCACCGTGCTTATGAAGAACGCCAGTAAGAGCAGAGATGTGAATCCACCTGTCAGCGTTGTGGCTCACCCACGTTCACAGAGGGAAATGATCAACATTTTAGCATTTTCTTGAAACTTTTTAACTTGTTCGAACACAGACGTTCTATATGTGTTTTTAGAGGTATAGAACTTTTTAAAACTGTTCCTGTGTGTGTAAACTGAGGTCTCTGTCTCGGAGCCCCACAATTGGTTGAAATTTTACCGTAGCATTCTCCACTATAGTGTCTAAGGACTTTTGTATTGTTGTGCGAAAAGGGACTTCTTAGACTTTCAGGTACTTCTCATGGCATGAGCAGACATTTTCACAAATTACATAAAACAAAGTTCATGTCCTGCTATTCGTGAGAGTATGAAGCTTCTGTCACCGCATTGCATGTCATGATGAGCTGTGCATGAAGACGGTAAGTGTTCTTTGCTTCATACCGTATTTACTCGCATAATCTTCGCACTTTTTTTGGCGGAAAACCGATGCAAAGTTGGGGGGTGCGAGAATTACGCGGGGAAAACTTTCCACGAAAACGTACAGTGCAAAAAAGAAAACGAAGTGGCCGCAAATCGGGATTCTCGCACCAGAGACTAATGACAAGCTTTGAGAAGTACTAATTAAAACTTACCTCAACGTTAAAAGCACTGGTTCAATGCAAGGCAAAATTTATTTGAGACACTAAATGTGCAAGCAAATAGTCGAGAATTAGAATACCATATGCAAAGCTTGTGGGTGTTGCGGCCGTAGCGGTAGCATTCGTCGGGCAACAGGAGCCCTCAAAAGGTAAGCGTAGGACGTCAGTATTGGGCTGATGGCTATTTAATAGAATCGTCCGCAGTTTCCTTCTGAAAAAAAATAAATAAAGCTTACGATCAATCCCAGTTTTATGCACACGGCAGGCCCAACGCGTCTTGGTGGCTTTCAGCTGTTGTCACCAGTAGCGAACACGAAATTCGTAGACTCCGAAGGGCCTACCGGCGGCCCTGTTGTCGTTGTTTAGTGCATGATCTATCACTTTCAACTTGAAAGCAGCCATGTAGCTTCAGTATCGCCCCGTAACGTCACAAGATTACTAACACAACATACAAAGCACGCCGCAACGCGCACTTGCCACTTTGGCTTGGCTTGGATTAGATTGAATTTCCGTGCAGTCATAGTATGCTTGATGCTTAAGAGATGGCGCCATATGACGCGCGTCGTTATCGTCAGTGGCTGGAAAGAGCAGATGACATTATTGCGGCAGTTTTTGTGGGTGCGATAATTACTCCAGGAAAAAAAAAAAAAGTCGTATTTTTGTTGGGCGATGTGGGGGGTGCGAGAATTATGCGAGTGCGAGGATTAAGCGAGTAAATACGGTATATTGTCGCGGGGTCATGACGTTGATAAAGGCAGCAGTTGGAGTGTCCAAGGTGATACTTTATTCAGCCAAACTTGAGGCCAGGAAATTCAAACCCAATGCACGCTGCACACTGATAGCAACGGGCAGAGCGTTGACTTTCGATGAACTGATAGTGAGGTGAATCAGTATTTATACATCAGCGTCAAAGGTTCTGGCCCTACCGCTGGCGCTTGTGAGAGCTCTGGAATTAACTTTGCTATTTGCATCCTGTGTGTAATGTTGACAGAATGATCTCGGACGTTTGTGAGGCTTTCCGAACATTGTGACGTGGTCTGCGCCAAGCGTTGCTAGCAGCTTTTGTGGATGTAATGTGACTGCATAAAAGTGAAGCAACGAAGCACTAAACATGCATGGCAATATCATAATGTGTATACTAAAGTATCGATTGACTATGCCGTATTTACTTGCATAATTTGGACTCCCCGTTCTGCCTAAGTGAGCTCGCAGGTAGGCACACGAAGAGACTGGATTTTTGGAAGCTCTGGACAGGTTCGCCCCTCGCCGAGCAGGCGACCGCAGTCATACATAAAATGAGCTGCAAATGAGAAGTCTGTTTTTATGAGGACTTCCCCCAAATTACGGTCCCCAGAATGCCGTACCCGAACACCCAAATCTGCTGATGGGTAGTCGGTCAGAACTGCTCGGGCGCTTGCCTCTCTCTGTCCCCTCCATTTATTTCACGGTAAGGAAGCTTGCTTACGACATGACATGGACTACATTCTGCATCGGAGACATGGGAGGGTATGTCGTGCCTACTGGTTCCCCTTGTTTTTTGCATCCATGCTGCAATCAGAAAAAAAGTTCTAATATGCTGAACATTTGCCAGTGAAATCTTAGCTTGAAATTGACTTGCTCACAAATGTTAAATGTACTATATCTTTTCTTCTGATGGGTTTAGAACATCCATTTTTGTTGCGCTTCAATCAGCTGTGATTCCAAAGGATTGTGATATGCTGATTCACTTTGAAACTCTCTCTCTAGACAAAAAATCTTTCTCCCCAAAAGTCATATCAAATATATTTCATTTCAGAAACTACACCTTATGCCAGAAAAATAATTGCATATTTGAAATCAGCACACAAATATACATAAACTTGAGAAGGTTTAATCAAAATAGGTTGAGAAATAAAAAAACACTTTTTATGAGCAGTGTCTTCTCTTAGGGTAAATAGAAACGAAAAACAAAAGGACAACAGCTTCACTTACATGAAACCTGGGGAAGTGCGAAGCACCAGTGTTTCTTACAGAAACACATCAATAGCAATCGGAGGACAGTGCTCTCTTACTATTACAGAGAGCATCGTGGACGGCATCCTTCGCAGAAATAAAGCTTTTCCTGAGCTAACTGCGCTGTCCTATTTGTTACTCTGAAAAGAGCCTTCACAAACTTTTCCTAAGTGAAGGCGCTGTTTTTTTTGCCACTTGCGTTACTGTGACGGGCAATGACGGAAGACACCACGACAAGCCACAAAGGCAGGCAATGCCAACAGCCAGAGTCGATAAGGCGCCTCACATCTAAATGTCTAACTCACTGAAAGAACACTGCTTTTGTTTCTGCGCATAAATCACATGTCATCCTTTTATCCTGCACGCATTATTTTGTTGCTTGTAACCTGACCCTGTCTGCAACACCTAGAATATTTTTTTAAAGTTTCCGCTCATGAATTCAACATTTCTAGTGTGCAAGTTAATTCTGCACCGTAATTGAAACAACCTGAAACACTATGCTTTATGATTGGGAGCATTTAATTTGCATTTAGTTTTGCTCATCGGTGCCACTTCCACCATCCTCACGAACTTTCAGCTTCAGCTGTTGCTGCCAGTGTAAGCTTCCTTACATTGCTGCAAAGCGCTGTCCTGAAGCCACCCTCGTACAATATTTGCGTGTAATTACTGCCTTTCTCATGAATCTTAATGGTCTGTGTTTCTTTGCTGAGTATATGTGAGAAAATGTAATATTATAGTTGTCGATTGATTGATTTGATTGACTTGTGGGGTTTAATGTCCCAAAAACCACCATATGATTATGAGAGACGCCGTAGTGGAGCGCTCCGGAAATTTTGACCACCTGGGGTTCTTTAACGTGCACCCAAACCTGAGTACATGGGCCTACAACATTTCCGCCTCCATCGGAAATGCAGCCGCCGCAGCCGGGAATCGAACCCGCGACCTGCGGGTCAGCAGACGAGTACCTTAGCCACTAGACCACCGTGGCGGGGCTCATAGTCGTGGAGATGTATGCCCTTAATTCTTGCTCAATTTTGTTGCTCGTAAAAATTATTCATGCTCTGCTGTAATGATTATTTGACTCGGAAACCCCACCTAACAGAACAACATATGAGTCTTTTTTTTTTTTTTTGCAAGTTTCAAGTATTCACACGGTCCTCTTCGTGTATTTTTGTGAAACTATAAGCCTTCACTGAATCGACATATTTCTTTACATTGCACATGCATGTGCACTTGCAGGGGGGGCAGAAACAAATTCACGACAAAAATGCATTTTCGACTTTGTTTTGTTGCATATGCTTCATGCTGGTGCTTTTCATGTGCTTGTGATGCTACGTTGCAGGTCCCAGAACTTCCACCACTTCGTCAAGGTGGCCCTGACCAAGAACCCCAAGAAGAGGCCTACAGCCGAGCGGTTACTCATGGTAAGCCATGGACGAAAAGACAGGAGCAAACTGAGGAGCCCAATGTGACAGTTAATATGGTCGCAGAGCTTTTCTCACAGAAAGCGGTGTTGTTGTCTAGGTAACTAGGAAAAAGTAAATGTGCAGTCTTGTGGGAATGTCACTTCTGTGGTTTCAAGTTGTAGTGAATGGTAATATACTAGGCATGTGCGAATATTCGAGAACTTTGAAGACTCGAATGAATGTTGCAGTGTTTGGATTTGCATTGACAGAAATTTACCTTATTTAAAGTTTTAAAGTAGTCGAAATGAACAAATATTTTCAGGGCATACTTGAGGTCATGTAATTCTTGTGTAAAAGTAATTTCACTGCAGAGTAGAGATGCTCTGCCATGAATAGACATGTCTAAGGCAAATTTGCACTGCCTCCAAACCTCACTTCAAGGATTAGTAAACATTGTGCTCTAATATATATATTCATCATTTTTTAAGTTTTAAAAAGCTTGATATACCGGCTTGTATGCTGAAAGTGTAGTAGATTTTAAATCTTAGCACATTTTACAGGTTATACAGTAAAAGCTCGTTAATTCGAACACGGTTATTTTGAAATCCCGCTTCATTTGAAGGATTTCTGTGGTCTCGTATTTGGCCATGTAAGTTTGAGTGGATAATTTGAAGCGGCGGCCGGCACCAGTCTGGTTAATTCGGAAACATTAGGTGCCATGTGCCAATTCCAGATCCTGATTTCGCCGTGAATCCACGAGAATGACGGCCATTAATTGCCACAAAACAATGCAAAGTATCGATAATAATGAGTGGCAGCTGAAGCATTCAGTCTTGCAACTGCTGGCGCAAAAAAAAAAAAAGAACAAAAAACGGTCTCATGGTCAACCGAAACGTGCGCTTGCGGAAAACGAGCTGTGCTTCTCTGCAACATAGTAGTGACATGCGGGCAACTTATTGCATGTTTCTCGCAATGTCAGTGGGTCATGGTTTGCCCATTCTTTGTGGGATTGTAAAAAAGTTCGTAAAGGATAGTTTAGCGAAAATCGCGATGTAGGGGAACCTCCGATTGCCGGTTGCTCCAGCGATTCGCATCTTCGCATTGCTGACGGAGTACTTGCCAGCAACACCTACTTCGAAAAATAAGTTCTAAAGTTTCAAAGATCATTTTTTCTAGTCAAAACTCATCGTGAGCTTCGTCATACTGGCCATTAATAAATTCATAATTATAACACAATGTGCGAATGGTCGCATCATGGCGTGCTGATGCAGCGAAAAGCAGGCGACATGCTGCCCGCGTGTCACTACTGTGTTGTAGTGAAGATGTCTTGTTTTCTGCAGGCGCACATTTTAGTTGATCACTACTGCGTTTTCTTTCTTTTTTCTTTTTTTCGGTTGCAGCAGCGAGACCCACGGTTCCTCCACGTTTGCGGCAAAATGAAGACCAGGTATTACTGGACAACATGGCCTTTGGAGCCACAAGCTAACCGGCACAGCAAACGACGAGCACCAATTACTTTGACTAGTTCTAATTTCCTTGCATCCCACTTTTTGTATGTTAATTCAAAAACCCACTTAATTCGAAGCTTTCTCGCGGCCCCAGTGACTTCGAATTAACGCAGTTTTACTGTAACTTGCATTCTAATGAAAGGTGAATCCTGCTGCCATTCGGAGCTGCTTTCACTCCTCTTTGAACCAAAAAGGGTGACATTTGCACATGCCTTGTTTAAATTTCAAAAACATTGCGCAGGTTAGTTGGATAATCGCAAACATGCTCGTTTTTCTCTATAATATGTGATCATACTACAGTCGGGCCCGCTTATAACGAACCTGAGCGTGACACGGCATCCGTTCGCTGTATCCCGAAGTTTGTAGTAAGTGAAACACAGCTTTTAAAAAAAGTTGCGACTGAAAACGCAAACTTTTTATGCCGCAAAAAGTCCGTGATACACGTGTTTCGAATAGCAGAAGCGATAAGGGCAGTCTCGAGTTCATTTAAAATGGCAGGGTGCTCGTTCGCCAAGGCCCATGGCATAAGCTGCATGAGGCACTGGCTCCAAAGTTCCGTCGTTCTCGCAATCCGATTCCTCCGATATTGCTCTTGCCACATACTTCATTCAGAATGTCCCAATTCGTGCACGGCTCCGCAGTGTCGGCATCATCATCGGCCGTAATTACACCATCGCAAAAGATGTCCTACACTCTCCCAGGTCGAAGTCGACGACGCGCTGCCACAAACCGCCGCTGCAGTTCGGAAGCTTCAGGCTCGGCATCGGGCCCGACGTTGACGAAGTCGGCCTCGCGAAAACAGTTTCGCGCGCATGTAGCCGTCACCGCCGCCGACGAAATATTCACCATCTCCACAGCTGAATACTGGGACGCCCGAAGCAGCAAGTTGGCTGCCAAGTGGTCAACAGCTATGAGGAAGCCCTCCGCAACGCGGCAGCCATTGCGCGAATTACGCTCAAGCCAAGTGGTCACTCTTTCGACGTTTTGTTGAGCGGCAGGAAAAAGTGTGCTGGTCCTCCCGTCGGCCATCATGACCACACACGCACAACAAGTGTGAGCAAGACGCGAACACGCGATGCGCATGCCAGAGTGCGTGGAACAGCTGTGGGCCCATTTCCAGCCAGAAAACGAAACTAATTCGAGCCAGCGTGGAGGGCGTCGCGGAGCGGTGTAGACGGGCGAAGTGGTTGTGATCAAGAGAGGTGATTTGACTTGCGAGAGAAGGGCAAGGAGTTGTGATAAAGGGAGAGGAGGATGCGGCGGGAGGGCGACCTTGAAAACTGAAACACACGGGAAGGAGGCAGGTTGGTTAGCTTGCTTGAAAGGTCCGCGAAACTCGCACGTAGAAAAACTTAGAAAGAGTGCATGGCCGCCTGAATCGGCGCGCACGGCGGTGTTCGAAGAATCGGCGGCCGTGGACGAAAAAAATCGTTTCTTTGCGCCGGCGGGTTTGCATGGCCGCACGAACGTCTCACGAACTTCGATATTTCGTGATTCGTTCCGCGCTAATTAGCAGCGTTTTCGCGCTTTCGCACGCGCGCGGAAAGCATGCTGAGTTGAGTACGAAGTGAGCGAGAACAAGTCCTAAACGCGAAACAAATCGCAAGTTATCAGAGTTGGTGGGGTAGCGTACGCGCGTGCACTAGACCCAGACTATCGGATACAGTCGGTGGCCGACGATGTTGGCAAATGGTCTGGTCATTCCAGGCCGGCGACGCCAACGACAGTACTAGCGATCAAAAACAGGGTAGATCACAGACCTGTCTTCGAAAGATCGGTGGCTGTGTGAAAACACGCGTCTCGTCTGGCGGGGTGCTCAGAGTAGCGGGGGGACAAAGGACGGAGGGGTGCGTAACAAAAAGCAGGTCGGGGAGAGCGGCAACTACAGGGGCGCGGAGGCAGGGTCGGCGTTTAACAAAAAGAATGTATGGGTGCCTCGCCAATGCCTGATCGGTGGTCAAAATCGGATTTCCAGGAAGTCGGCAGACCGCTGACTCGTTCGCTGTAACCAATCAGCGGCGCTCGGAGACGTTCATTATAAGTGCGATTTTGTGCCATTGAACCAAGGTATGTTTTCACGGTCACGCGGATATTGTTCATTTTAAGCGAAAGTTTGTTTTAAGTGGGACCATTATATGTGGGCCTGACTGTATTTGAACTCGGTTCAGAATTATTCGACCAAGTCACTATTCCTTTAGAATTCGCCTCAAACCTAAATTTGCGCTCTTAGTCATGTTGTACCAAGACAGCCTAACCAACAGTTTTGTTTAGAGAACACCAAACGGTCGAAATTTATTGAGCAGCTTTACTACAGCGTCCCTCGTAGTCATATTGCAGCTTTGGTTCGTGATACACTCGAAATTATTATTCATCGTCAAGTCTCTCCATCTCCCTCTACAGCACCCTTTCCTCAACGGAGACCACCTGACCAAGCGACTGGCACGGGAACTCCTGGAGAAAGTCAACAACCCGCACAACAACTATAACGACCTGGACCCGGACGATGAAGGGGTGCGTGCTAGCTACTTCGTACACACAGTGTTGCATGCAAGCATTGCACAGCCTAACCAGAGTAGAAACTTGATACCTGTCTTTGTTGTGCAACATTCTATATTCCTATACCGACATTACAATTGTACAGCATTGGTTTAATGATTCCAGGCCATGCAGTGCTAGAAATACATGAAAAAGTGGACTGAAAATTTCTGATCACCACAAGGCTTGGATAGAAAAAAAGAAAAGAAGCATGTGGCTAAATAACGGTCTAAAATTAACCCTTTTAGGGTTGAACTTTTTTTAGCGAAATGCATGCCAAAAATGTGTCATTTTTTATTGCTAAAATAAATTCTTTAGGCCATTTTATTTAAGAAAAAATGATCAAATTTTTTTCATGATCGCAAAGTTAGAGAACAATATTTTGTGTTACACACACATAGTTTATCCATAGTAACATCTAGCAAAATTGTAAACAAAAACACCTTTACTATTCTTTATGAATAAGAATTATGCATCATAATAAACATAGCTCACAGGCGTACAAAAGTAAGTGCACCAGAGTTCTTTTCTGGTTAAAAATGCTTCTGCTTTAAGCACTGGGAAATTAAATGGTCACCTTTGATTTAATCCTAATCATATTGCCTCACACACTTCAGAGATGTCGCTCCTTCATGATTATTCAAAACCGAACTCTTGAGTGAATCCTCGTCTGATCAACTGAAATCCAATGAATCAGATTCGCCACCAACTAAAATCCTATGAATCAGATTTGCCACTTGGGAAATAGTTCACATTGGAAGAACTCACTAGCAGTAGAGCAACCGGTGCGCGCTTCCATAGCATAAGTTAACTGTGCAAGTGATTGTACGAAAGAAATCTTTATAGCTGTGTGGCGATCCAGCCAGCAAAATGAGTGAAAAATCTGTAAAATATCTCATTGCCAGCCAGACGCAGTTGGTTTTTCCGAGTCTCCAAAACGAGAAACGCAACCACGGCAGTAGCATTTGTGTAGTTTAGCGCCACACAGAAACATGTAATCGCGCCCCAGGTAGCAATAAGTAGGAGAATCACAAGCGGTCGCCATTCGACAGATTTGAAACCAGGCAGTGATCAGTCAGCTTTGCGGGTGCCAGCAGCGATAACCAGCCGAAGGACTAAACCAGAACCAGCCGCACTGCGTGCGTGTGTTCGGATGCGCAGCTGTAAGCCACCATGCCACTTTGGAAAAACAACAACAACGACAACGACAACAAAAAAACTTGAGGCGTTGGTGTCTGCAAAAAATTGCTCACCATGCCAAAGCGGGGCACCACATTCTTAGCGAGAAAAATGATCGATCAGGCACGCATGTCAAACCAGCCGCACTTCGCAAGCGACTTCCAGAGCGCCATCCTGCGAAAAGTCTAAAAAAAAAAGTAACAGCGGAGAGACATCGGCACATAACAAAAATTTCAGTTTCTCGAAAGATGCCAGCACATGCCAAGCTAGAAAAACTATATAAAAAGGTGTGCGCTTCAAACATAAAGGCAGTGCTGTACATATATGACAAGAACCCTTTGGTTCATGTTAGGTGCTGCTGTATATGTACGGCAAAACCCCTGAAATTGTTAATGACCATTCGTTTGTGCTTCTGTTGTATTGAGGAAGCATATTGCTTTCTTAAAAATTTGAACTGTCTGATTAAATTGATCTACGTTTTTACTTTGCTGGTTCTTTTCACTCTTTAAATATTAAACTTGCTTCAAGGCACCCACAGTGAATAGCGAATGCCTGTGATGATGCTGCTCAACATTTTACTCAGCATTTTCTCGAAATTTGCTATTGTCTGAGCCAGCTTAGTATTCTGCATGTTACTACATTGCTTTGACCCGAGATGTGCCCTGTGCAGATCCTGTACAACGTGCCACAAAGGATTGCGTCTCAACGGTCTGCGAGAACAGCCGAGCGACCAAACTCTGAACTCAACAGTGAGTTGCATGCATCCTTTTTTTTTTCTGGCTGACTCGAATATACAGTTGAACCCACTTATACCAATATGGAAATTTCATTATTATATCTGATGATTGCTATAAACAGGTTACACGAAAAAAAAAAAAAAGTAGTTGAATGGCAGGCTGCTGCGAGAAAACTTAATGTTGGATAGAATATGTCGATAGTGATCAGTGAGAAGGATGTTGAATCAGATATGCGAAATAATTTGAAAGCTTGTTTTTGGAAAGTACAGTCAACTTCTCTTAAACGGAACTCGAAGGGGATCCATAAAACTGTTCCATTTGTCAGATGTTTCATTTAAGCAAAGTACATTTATTTAGTGAACCAAGACCTTTATTCACAAACCTCACCTTACTCATGAGGATGAGCAGGAGAAAAAAAAGTAATGAAGAGTGGTTTGTTTGGCAAGCTTGAGTTGTTTTTTTCACGAGGTACGCACCCATGCCTGACAAACTAGCTAGAAATTCTGGACAAGCTTTATGCTCAAAATAGCGCTGCAAAAGTTCAACAGCCTCTTTAGCTGATCGGTCGGGTGGCACCACTGCACTGGCAGTATCATCACATTCATCGCTGAGAGGTTCATCCTCATCTTGCACTTCGGTAGTCATTTCCTTGACAGTCTCTTCATGACAGGTACGAACATTTTCATCAATTGATTCGTAGTCCTGCAGCGTGAAAGGGGCAGAGGGCACGACTTGACTGAATATTGTCTCAATGTCAGCATCAGCAGGGCTTTCTTCTTCATCAGTTACTGCTTTTTTGCACTTGAAAGCCAGCATGGTGAAAGCATCTGTGTATTGTTCTTGCCTTCACTTGCTCCCAGGCACAAGCCAAAATGTAGATGACTGCCAATAAATCTATGCTGTAGAATTTCCCGCTGCCTGCTCTAAGCAGCATTTGACGGAGCAGTGGTCTGCGGTAATGAACATTATTGTTCTGAATAACCCTTTGATCCATCGGCTGCATCACCGTCTTTGCATTGGCTGGAAAGAACTTCAGGGTGACGGCTTGAAGTCCCTGAACCTGACCGTGGGCTGGGCAATTATCAACGATAACGACAACCTTCCTGCTTTGCCTCGTAAATCTTGCGTCTTCCTCCCGAAGCCAGTTTTCGAAAATGGCCGTGGTCATCCACGCTCTTCCGTTCCCATGGTACGCAAAGAAAAAGTGTCAAACGCCTTTGAAACAACGTGGGTGCCTTGATTTTCCTATTACCGACAGCTTTAATTGCTCATCTCCTGCCATGTTTGCACCCACCAGCACAGTGATGCGATCTTTACTGCATTTTCCTACAGGCTTCGCCTTTGAAGGTGAGAGTCTTTGATAGAAGCGCTTTATAAAAAAGACCCACCTCGTAGATGGGGAAGACATCTCGTGGCTCAAAGCTCATCAAAATTGCCTTAAACCGCCACTGTTGCCAGTCGGTGGAAATGTCCCTGTTTACTGCACCACCCTCGCCTGAGATTGCTTTGAAGACCATGCCATGGCGTGTTTTGAAGCGGCTGGGCCATCCGTCGCTTAGGACAATATTCTAACACCCATTTACATGGCGATCTCTCGAGCTTTCTGCTCAATAATTGGTCCGCTTATGGGCAAATTGGAACTCTGTGCACGCTTGAACCACATGAAAAGAACTTTTTCTAGTTGTTCATGAGGTGTCGTCCGCATTCGCATCCATTTAGATGTAAAGGTCTCGTTCTTAACAGTGCCTTCAATCATTTCTCTGTCTTTCCAGATACGCGACAGCGTCGATTTTGGGATGCATTTTTTCGCCACCTCAGTCTTGGGCAGGCTTCTTCGATCGAGCTCCTGAAGAATTTGCAGCTTTTTTTTAAACGAGAGTGCATGGGGCGACCGCTTCCTTTCCATCGGGCCGAAATAGCACCATGATTCACCACACTTAGCCACACAAATAGGCATAACACAATTGACTCGCCGACTCTGCTCCCACAGCCACAAGCGAGAATGGCTGCTAGATTGACATGAGCGAGTCTATGCTGTGTTTAGAGTTTGTGCCGTTTAACTGTAGGTGACCAATAAGCACTGTTTTGGTTAAGTGATGAATTTTACTGCGCAACACATAGAAATCCAGTGATAAGAGCTTGCTTAGTTTTGTTAATCTGGCATTTTATTTTAAGCGAGTTTCGTTTATTGGGAGTCTACTGTAGATAGAAATTGAAAGCACGCTTTTAAGTGTTTAATCAATGTTTCTTTTTTCTCCCGTAGTGGACAATGTCAGCTTTGAACAACGAGTTTTCACAGAGCTCGGTGACGCAACGAATCAGGTAAGACTTTCTTTCAGTTGTTTATTTCTGGAGCACTTACTTCAATTCTTTTACGGTAATTTTATGAACTCTGGCTAGCAGGGCAAAAGGTTGCCTTCAAGCAGTCATCTATGCATGTATAGCCCAAGACAAGAAGCGTTTGTGTAATTTCGGACAAGTGCGCCCTTGCCTCCTTCCATTTTTTCTTCCAGCCGGTTCTCTGCTACGAAATCCTGCAGCAGTGGTTCATAGGAACCAAAGTTCTGGTATTCGTATATGTGTGCACAATTCTTTAGTGCTTTTACAAAGCTGGGCTTCAGGGTTGCATTTTTCGTTGGCACAAATTGTCCGGTGGGGTAGAGGGGGATTCATTTGAACGTCTTTATTTACCCCCCTCGTCATAACACATGAAATTTACCCCAATGTATCCTATAGCTCAGTAAAAACAGTAAATGCATGCATAATGAATAAAGCATTTCATGACAAGCATAGGTAGGTTTTATCAGAAGCTCCTCCACTGCCGCCTCGATTTTGGTTCGTGGCCAAGCCAGTTCCCCCACCAAACACTTGTCCATTTATGTTTCACTGTAGGGGTGCTTGCCTGGTGTTTTACGGTACTTCTAATGTTGTTAAATGCTGTTGAGGCACTAGAAACTCTACAGACTCCAGATGTACGTGAACACTGGGGGCACCTACATTTAATTTAAGTTCTTTAAGCTCCTCTCAGTGTTGCCCTCTGGCATCAAAGATCCCACCTAGCCATAAGCATAGCAGGAGAGGGAGGCTTTGGGCCCTCTCCCTTTGAAGACTGAAATTTTTAAATTTTGCATGTGGACACAGTAAAAGTTCATCAATTAAGATATCATGAGAATGTAGAAAACGTTCAAATTAATTGGATGCCAAATTATCTAAAGTGTCAAAAAAACAATAGGGAGTTTTCGAATAGGGGCCCCAAAAGTTCGGGGCCCCAGAGATATTTGCAGATCCACGCTTTGGGTCAAGCAAGAGCGAACAGTTTTCGAATAGCGTCTGCAGTGCTTTAGATACTCACCCAATTCTTGGTCATGTCACTTCAGTAGGTGCCATCACGTTTGTCGGACGCAAAACTTTTGGGGCAGGCTTTGGGGCTCCTGCTGAATTTGAGAAATAGCGTCCCCAACCCAAAACCCAAACGCAGTTGTCAAGGTAACTGCACATCTGCAAAACCCAAACGCAGTTTGGTTTTTGCATAGTGTCAAGTGGCATAGTGTCAATAGTGTCAAGGTAACTGCACATGTGTAAAACCCAAACGCAGTTTGGGTTTTACACATGAGCAGTTACCTTGACACTATTTCTTTGCCGCCCCAACCTTTTGGGGCACCTATGCAAAAACTACGTACAAAAGAAGCACATGACTTATTACATCAATTATTTTCGTTTTCTTGATGAACACATAAATCCAGAACTTAGTTCACATAAGAATAGCGTGAAAGCTGTAATATTGATCATTCATGACTTCGTTCCCAATTTGACCTCAACTCGAGTCTCCATGTCTTAAATTAACCCACCTTCATTACATTCTGCCATCACTATGACCACGGCGTGCGTGTACATAACTTTTTCACCAGGAAAGGGCCTGCAATTGATTGTATCTCCATCACAATATAGTAAGGCAGGATTATGCCAGCATGCAGACTGCCATTGGTGCTCTTCATCTTCAACAGCTTCCGCCATGCATGAGTTTTTTGACGTTGCATAAGCATTGACCCTAGTCAAAATGAAGCTGGAGTGAACCGGACTTGGTAATGCCCAGTCAGGGAGGGTGACCGTGCCTTTCTGAACACACAGAGTGGTCTCGATAGTTCGTGAACACTTTTTCCTCTCCCTTGCATCATGCATTTGTGGTGCTTCTCGTCTGGTGTGCTCCTAGGATTGTCAGAATTAGCCGAGTTGCGGCTAAATATGAGAAAATTAACGAGAGTTTGAGACCGCTAAGCAATACATATGCTTGCCATGACCAGGAACACGTCCAAATCATTCGGTTTTTGTGATTAATGGTGGTCAAACTCACAAGCTTTTACTGTACATACATGCACACATACAAACACCTGAACTAGCACACATATAAAGGGCGTTACGCCCCCACCCTTCCTAAAATGCACACACTCCTGCCAGGTCTACGTAAAACATGCAGCGCAGTCACAGTGAAAGCTGGAAAAGCAGTCTTTCTGGAGCATTTTTAAACACTCTGGGGACAACTGGTGGAAACCTCAATATAATAAACACAGATATTATAACGAAGTAAACAAAATATAGTGTAGTCACAAATACAGAGTTCTAGATAAATGTTTATAGCAAATTTTTGATGATTATAATGAAGTTTGAGGGTACTTCAAGCACATTTGCATGGTACCTACTGCATCATAAATTATTACGTTAATGTTTGTATAGTAGGGAAGCGTCTAGTATGCCATTATTCGCCATTCTTGAGAGAAGCGTGGTATTCACTACACATTTGAAGGTTTTAAGTGCACTGGCTGACTACGAGGAAGAAATATGCTGAGGCTTTTATTTATGGGTTGCAACATTCAATGACACACTCGTTAAGCAATTTTTATTTTATGATGCCTCTTTGTTGCTTTACTGTTATAAAACTCTTTATTACATGTGCCAACGCGATTCCTTACTCGACATGATGTCTGCGTATTGTCAGTTTGCAATGGAGTCTCAAGCACTGGTGTAGCTCACTGTTAAAGTACTGGGCTGCAGTGTAGAGGACCCAGGCTCAAATCACATTTTGTCAGCAGTACTTTTTATTTAGTTAGTTTTTTTTCTTATTTCGACTGATGGTGGTTACAGACACCGGCGATGGCGGACAACTACGGCGCCATAATCGGCCCTGGTTGTTATCTCATAACAGCTTTTGCTGTGAAAAAATAAAAATTTTGGGCTATACCCCTGCATTTAGCCATTTTCCATCTTGTGCTTGGGCCAATGCTGTGCAGTACATATGCCAGCATGCAGACTGCCACTGGCGCTCTTCATCTTCAACAGCTTCCGCCATGCATGAGTTTTCTGACATTGCACTGCATTTTGTCTTACCTTTAACTTTGACCAACACCACTTCCTACACTATTCAACTGGTAGCTTGAACGGCATAACCAAATTAAAGTTACAATTACTTAGCTCTCCGGAGGTTGTACCGTGTTCACACTTGGGTGAGCCCATCTTGGTGATGGTGCAAGTGCAACGCTTGTTTCGAGTGTGGTGTAAAATGCCATTGGTCTGTGTCTTATCGGCACTCTCGCAGAATGCACCAGTGCACAATGGCCAGGGCAACAACCACTATGACCTGGCGACAGCATGGATGGAGGGGGACAGCGAGAGGGAGGAGATTCAACGGTCAGTGATGCTTGCGATTTCCCTGTAGCTTTTAACTGGAGAGACTGCGCTTGTTTGGAACAGATAGACGCAGAACATAGCACAGCGTTGGCTTAGTTGCTTATCTTTTGTAATGGCAAGCTTGAGGTTGAGGGCTCGAAGTCCGGCCGTGGCAGCCACCTCCTGGTGGAGGCTTCAGGGGAAATAGAGTGCCCAGAAACTCGTGTATCGAGATTTGCATGCATGCTCATCGATTACTAGTAGCCAAAACTAACCTGGAGCCCTCCCCTGCTCAAATATTTGCATAAATCATAAGAGAGTGTAGCATACAGAAGCGTTGCCTGGTGGAAAAGTAATTCATCTTTTAATCTTTCCTGAAAGTCTTTTTAGCGGAGCCGAAATAGAGGCAGGAACAATTTCAAGAGGCTTGTGTTAAATAATAGACCGTGAGGTCTTGCATGAACAACGCATGCGTTGGTTTACAATGCTAGTTCTAAGGATGAAGCTTTGAATGCAATCGGAGTGGAGGCATAGTGGCTGCTGTGTTGCTCTAGCAAACTGTAACCATTAGCCTAGCTTGAGTCTCATATTATAGGCTTACCTTGAGTAAAATATTGCGTTGCAATTGAAACTTAAACTATGTATGATGTCAGCCCTTTGTTAAGATTACAGTACAGAGGGCTCTTCAATCACTCTCAAGCATTAGTTTGGTTGCCTCGAAGCAAAGTTTTGCAGTGTTCTCAGAAAAACTTGGTGGTAGCAGCAGAGCGAGGCAATAGCTGTTTATTCAGAGAGCTTGTATCATTGTACAGTGTTTGATTGTGCACATAAATTGTACATTCGGCTGGTCGTTTTTAAACAGTTCAGTGCGATTTGGCACTCTGAAATTGGTTGTTTGAATGCTATGAATGCATTTGCATAATTCATTCATAAAGTTACGCTCCAGCACAGAGTTTGACATCTCTGCTTGTTGAGCGCAGTCGCAGCAGAAACCAGTGGTATGTACCGCCAATTTGCCAGTTCGTTTCAAGATTGACACCCGTTGTTTGTTGAGTGCTTTCTGTAGACACTCGTAGCTGTCATGTAATCGACGAAGCTCGCCTGTGAGCGAGCTTCAGTTTGCACCTGGTGCTTTCCCAAGTAGCGACTTTTTGGGGAGTGCTGGTGACGTCGCAGCGAAATTCTTCTAGTGCAGACCAAGAGGTGCACCTTGGTGTTGTGTTAACATCTTTTGTGCTGCCAATGTGTTGTTGCAGTGCACTGTCACCATCTGTTCACTGCCGCTTCTTTTGTTTTGCGCTGCTCTACTCTTTGTCTGTCCCTCTGCTGATGTCGGGCAGCACATCAAGCTGTCGTCTTTGAAGGCAGAGTTGATGCAAAAAACACGAACGCCATATCCTGTAGCATCAGTGACATGGGGGTACCACTTCCTAGTACTAATTCAGCAATTCTAGTAGTGACGACTATCGGCTAGTAGTATCATCAGAATGCTTGGTAATGGTGTAGTGGCATTCTACACTTTTAATGACTTTACACTTTTTGAGCTGTAGTGAAGCATCACAAGTCAATTTCATATGGTTTTCTGTAATGTGTGCCTCGAGCTTTTCTGTCTAGAGCTTCATGCATCTCGCATCAGTCGATGGCGTATCACACAGAAAAGCAGTTGGTCTACATCATTAAACAAAGAAAATGCAGATAAACAATGAGGAATATTGACGCAGAATTACGCTGCAAGTACCAGGCCACAGGAGTTTGGTTTTGTTTACAGATAACCTAGCAACATTATGGCAAAGATTCATAGCTCATAGAGGCTGACAGCTTCCTTACCAGTGTTGTTAGGAAACTGATGCAATGATTGTTAAACACCGTGCTTGCTAGGTTTGGTCTTTAATGCACTAAAAGTGAATGCCATTGAGGTAATGTCCCCGAATGTAATGGTATCGCTGTTCTTGTGTGGTTTTAACGAACCTCTCTCATGCCTTTTTACTTTTTCTGCGTTTGGTCTGAATTAGTGTTTGACACTTAACCGTAGGCTATTACCTGGTGACTAACGTCACGTTACTGGTTGTTGAATAGCGTTCAGGTGTCGACACTCAGTTCCTTGTAGTAGATTGTCGTAGATGAACAACGAACTGTGCAGTTCATTTCACTCACCGAGTAGAAATGAGAACACTCATCCACATGGAAGGAAGCGGAACAAGAACACTTTCGATGCTGCACAGTGGCAACAGCAGCGGCGCAAATGGCATCTTAGCAATGCTACATTTCTTCAACTTGGCCAGCAGCACTTGGGCTAATGCTTCAGCATGGGAAAACGAAAAGCTAGGCGATGATTGTTCATGTGGTGTGTGCCTTGAGCAAAGCTGGGTGGGAAGACTTTTGGCCGGTGCCTATTTCTAAATAGGATCCTCTTTGCTCGAGCACCTTGATTAATATGAAAGGTCACTTCAATGAAGTTGCATATTATGTTGGGATTGGTAGGCACCCTCAATTAACAAGTTGATGGAACCATAGTTCTTCTGTTTAGTTGTGCATCGGCTGGTGAAAATACATCATTTCCACTTGGTTATATTCTTCGTGCGTATGACTTCACTCTGCATCCCAAACTAGAATAATGAACTGTAACTTTTCTGACTGAGTCATTGCTTAAAAAGCATTGTTAGTTTAGGAGGTATGCTACAGTTCCAGACAGTAGGAAATTGCACATCTACCAATTGCAAAGTTTTCTGCTTTTGTGCAAGTACGAGTTCGGTGGCACACAAAGCATTAAAGCGGAGAGCTCCATACTTGCAGTGCTAATCGGGGATTTGCACAGTAACAGCACAAAACTATGAAGATCTTGACAATGCGCATTTTCACCTGAGAAAGCTTTTATTTATAACAAAAAAAAGGGGAAAAGAAAGCTATGAGCGTCATAAAAAAATGAGCAAGCACAGAACCTACAAACTCTGTTCAAGCTCTCATATTGTAAAAGAACCCAGGAAGTAGAAATGCGGAATCATATTGACGACAGCACATAATTGCAGACACTAATAATTGATAACAAACTTCGAAATGAGAACTCGGCCTTATTTAGTTTTTTCTCAGGCTTGTATTGACTGCTACTTATAGCTCCTGCAAGTGCAGCATTTGAAGGAAAAGTCTGCTAGGCTTCGACTGATTCATCTTTCTCCATATTCTCTTTTTAAAAATGTGCGTCCTAGTTCTTTGAGCTGCGAATTTCAAATAAAGCCTCCACACAGTCATACTACCTTTCGCTGTATGTAACTGCAATGAAAACGTCCCGTGCTAACATAGCACTCTGTAATGCCTCCCACACTCTGCCTTAACTATGTTCTTGACGCTTGGGCACTAATCCTTGTCTCAACCTTGAATTGCTAGCTTAGAGCTGCTTGACATGTGTTGGGGAGCTGTCTTGGCCCGTCACACTACATGGGTTGCGCTATGGTTGTCTAGGGGTTTATGAAATGCTTGGCTTGCAGGAATGTGTTGGCCCGGCCGTGTGAATAATGCTGCAGTCTTTTGATATTATTATTTTCTCAGTTTCCGTACTGTTTTCTTTTATGCAATGTTTTCTGTGTTTTCTTCTAATCGTTCGCTCTTTTTGTTTTTCACTCGGAAACTCGCGCAACAAGTGACCGCACCTCGTCCACTTCAAAAGCATGATGGTTTTTGCAGTGCTCACACCCTACTGAGTTTGCATGGTGCCGAGTAATCTTTTAGAGCCGAGTTTATTCTACTGGAGATTCTGTTGCAGTGTTTTTGTTACATGTCGTCAGTGAACTACCGTGCACAAAAGCCAGCGAATTCTATGTGAATTATGTCTTTATATGTGAGAATGTAGCAATGGGAAACAACGATTTCGATAGACAGAAGCAAAAGACCAATTTTGTAACTTTTTCTCATACTGCTAGTTAAAGTGAGTTACTTTTGAATATTTTTAATGGAAAACAGTTCGAGTGGCGGGGCCTATAGATAAAAAAAAAGTAGGTTACCAAGCTAAACTTGTCTGTGCAGAAAAAGTTGGCAGTTATGTGGCAATTTCACTGGACATAGGAGGCACGCCCGAAGTAGTTGTGTATGCGGTTTGAGCCAGAATGATTCATGAAACCAAGCCACTCGATTCCTCAATCATTACTGACCATTGAAATGTATTGAGGCAGAGAAAACTTTGAGGTATATTGACTGCTCTTTATAACTAAAAACTGGAAGTGGATATAATGACCACATGCCATAGGTGGAGGCGAAACCATTTTTGGTGTTGTGCGTGCAGCAACCACTTGAACTAATTTACAAGTAATGAAGTAGTAGCGAACTGTTGGGAATTAGTGCATATCTACAAATTTAGCCTTGGGAATGTTAAATAGTGTCTCTGATGGCCACGTCTATAGACATGGAGTATTCTTTGAAACAGAGGCATTACGTATTGTGTGTGCTTGAAAGCTGGCAACTGATGGAAAAATAATTGTTATAGAAGCCGTAGCATAAAGGCTGGCAAAGTACAGAGGTACTGTTAGTGAGCTATTGGGATGGCCATTGTTGTTCTATGCGTTCTTATATAGAGAAGTGAGACTAGAGCAAGAAAAAAAAACAGAGCAGTAAACAGGCAAGAAATAATTGAGTCCCTCATTAACCAAGTGTGGTTAACTCTCTGGTGGTAACACATGGGAGGAGGTGCGGTCAGTTGGCACGAGTGGCCTGTGTGCTTCTTCTTCTGCTTTGTTTTGTTAAGACCGTTTTCTTTCTCTATCTGCTCTTTATTTTCTCTTTTTTTCTCTCTCTCTCTTTGTTTTTCCCTCTCCCTGTCGTCTGCTCGGCTTCTGCACTTGCTCGGTCGCTGGCGTTTGATGATGATGGTGGCGGTTGCGCTGGGGATTGTGGATGGTGACAGTGCTGGGCCGATTGCGGCTGCGTACGACGCGGATGACGACACTGAGGCGAAATTTTGTGCTGCCCTCAGGAGCCTGCTGGACATTGTGGACGAGGAGCTGCGACACAGGTACCTCTTGGTCACTCTATCTCACTGCCACACTACTCGTGCTAAGCCGTCCGTCGTGCGGTTCCTTTTGCTCCGTGACGTATCGCTCTTTGCAGACGCTTTCTCTTCATTTCTCGTTAGTTTACTTTTGGCCGTCTCACTCTCGCACTTTCTCGTTTGCTTAACGCTTGACGGGCCATTTCGTCAATGCCGATCTATTTGCACGTACCTTCCTCGAAACTGTCTCTGTGCGTGTTTCGTTAAGTGTTGGTGTTACACTTCTTTTGCACCCCTTTTGACACTGAGTGCTTCAAGGGTGTCTTTATGAACCTTGTCTTGTTTACTTCCCTTTTTTACACCACCTCTTTGTTCTTGTGTTGCAAGCGTTTTTACTTTCCTTGGCATCGTGTTACAATCTGTGGCTTCCTCTTGTTTTCCAACTTTAATGCCATGTGAGGGCATGTTTTCGTTTATGCACGATTGCACTTACTAATACTTTTGCGTGTATTTTATGCTAAGGGGATGCTAAAGGGAAAATCAAATTATGGTAATAAATTATTTGCCAGGAACTCTGTCATCATTACTTTTGTGATCATGGGTTCATTATTAGAATAAAAAACAAAGGCCAAAGTTTAATTAGGTTTTGTACCCGATTCCAGCGCCCGAGTATCAGCATGACGTGTCGGATTTTTTGTGTCATATTTTCGTCGTTTGATCAAATTACCTCAGTAATATTCTCTGATAGTTGCCATGTTAAGTAACTCCTTACAAAATGCAGTGTAATTTATTTCCACCAGTGAAGAGCTACAAAGGCCTTTGAAGACACAATCAAAATCCATGGCGTCAGGTCAACTTGGTGCGAGAACTTTAATGGCAGGATCGGCCCCCATGTTTTATTTTTGCATATTATCTAGCCTAATAAGCATGTTCTTGCGGTAACTTCACGGAAAGAGTGGTTTTTAGTATTGCAGGAAAGCAAATAACTCTTACCAGTAGAATCTATGTTTTTCTTAATGTCCCCTTAATATTTTGCTTGTGGATGCGACTCACTAGAATGCCTGCACAGCTAAGTCCACTTCGATGCTGAGTGGTACAACTCTTGGCACTATGCAACACGTACAGTGGATGATTTGTGCGGCTATTCAGTTCTCGTTTTTCGTAGAGGCCGATGTTGACCTTGCGATGATGACTTTACGTTTTCTTAGAGTCAGTATTGTGTAGGCTCTCGACCTCGCATTCTTCTACTTCTGCTGTATTTGTGTTCGTTCATATTTGTTTATTCTGTTTTAAATACCCGTGTTTCCAAGCCTGCTTTTTTCCTTGTTTAGTTTGTGTGTGTGTTTTACAACCTACCCCTCTCCTTTGTTGGAACGTTTTCGTGTGAAACTTGCTGACCCATTGTGTTTGTGTGCATTTTTGCTGCTTACATTTGCGTTATAGTGTTGCTCTGTGCAAAACAAAGCTGAAGAGTTCTCAGAACAGAATGCATCGCCTGTGAGATCTCAGAACAAAATGCATCGCCTGTGAGATCTTGCTAAACGGGAAGAGAGATTTGGATGGTTGTAGAATTCTTAGATGTCATTGTAGCAGAATGTGCGTCTTTACTCATGCGAAAGGAGAACAGTGAGCTTTACTTATTTCCTGTGAGTAGCGAAATGCAGGAAATTTAATTGGACTTGAGTAATTTTTCAAGGCAATAATGGCCAAACATCTCTTCGGATGCGCTGGCCGGAGTATCTCTAGCTATGCCACAGCTTCAAGTCTCCGCTTTCGTAACCTAAACTTTCAGATCCCCGAAGTATTCGCCCATCAACATTTCTCTTTTGCAGTGATTAAAACTTGTACATGCTTCATGGCCATCATCTATTCAATTGCTCTTCACATGATATATAGTGAAAAATGGTGTCTCACACATAGTTTTTGAAACAATCTTTTTCGGGCAATTCTGCTAATCAACTGTTCGTTTTGCTGCATTTAAAACTCAGAAAGCAATTTTGCCATTATATTTGATTGCACAGAAATAGTTCATCCAACTTGCTTCCAATTAACTTGTTCCATAATATTTGTTACTTTGTCTGGACTACCTAGCTTCTGTGTTTTGTTTTGTTGCATTGCCCTGCATGTATTTGTTTTTATTATATATCCTGAGGTGCTTGTATAGACATTAGCAGGTCAGCCTTGTAGCTAGGCTCTCATATGGACAAGATGCGCATGTTCTCCTTGTTCTCTATGTTTCCCATATGTTGCCCATATGCCTGGCATGTTCCACATTGTGTATTCCATGTTCCTCGTTTCTGTGTGCTCACATCGTGTTCTGTCAGATATGTCCTTCGTACGGTTCAGCAGGGATGTGGTACAAGATTGATAATGACCAACTGCGGGTCCCTAAGATAGATGTCAAACATTGTTTGAGCATATTGCCGGCAAGCCTGTTGTTTTCGATATCATAGAGGGTGCTAATGTTATGATGTTCTGCAATGGGGCAGTGTGTTGTCTGGTGCCGAATGCATGGCTCTTTTTGCAATGACGGCCAACGCTGCTGAAGCACACCGTACTACTGTGGTGCCACCTGTTTCCCCTCCTCTAAAGTAACTTATGTGAAGCTGAAATACAAAGTCTCCAAGATCGGTAGTTGTAGTTGCCGTGCTGGTCGTAACATGTATAAAAATGATTAGTGAAATTACTCTTCTGGCTCATGCTGGTGAGGGGTGGTCGTGGAACTCACCTGATGATGTTTACGTTATCCTTCCGTACCTCCTCGTTCGTTTTGTCACAAAGACTCGGATTAGTCTGACAGCTAGGCTGGTGTACATACGCATGGGATGAACAGCGAGGTGCTTTTTTACCTCTTCTGCAGTTGAAACAGTAAGCAAGCTAACTGTCTGGTCCCTGTTCTGCAATAGGAATTGTACAAGCTTATACGACGCAGGAGCAGCCTAATTTTTAATATTAATGCATAGTAATGTGTTAAATGTGTTTTAATCTTGCGGATACCTTTAGTTTTCAGTCATCTGAAGTGACTATTTTACTCAAAAACTGCAGAAAATTTTGTAATGCAAATTCAAGTTACGTGTGCTGGGCACACCGTTCGATGGTGGCACCCTACTGGTGGCATCATCACAAAAGCGGCCCATTGGTTTGCTGCGAAGACAGCATACTGCCCCATTCTGGTAGAGCATACTAATGTGTTCTTACTACCACTCCAAAACACTGTAGAGGTCCTGAATATTTATTCAGTTCGGCTGTCACAATTTATGGGTTGTGCAGAAGGAACAAATGTTGTGACATCAATTTTGTACAACCTTTATCGTTCGAGCTTTCATATAAGCAATGTTTAATTAATGAGAGTTGAAGAGGTGCTGTAGCTTTTGGAGCGAAGCTTGCATTCCCTCAAAATTAGGCATTGTAGGCATGACTGGGAAAAAACCCGTTGTTGGAAAGTGTACAGAAAAATTTGGGTGCACACAAATTAGGTCCTAGAAAGGGCGTCAGCCACGATGATACTTGTATGCACAGTTTTACAATTATTGATGCTCTCTCGATTGGGGACTTTCCATTGATCAGTCGCTTCAGATACACTAATCTGATCTTGCATTGAAGTTACCAAGGTGACTTGCCATTTCACACTGCCATATTTCATTGTTGCCTGGATATGAATGCATGGTTGTCATTGTCTGTGATAACTGAAGTGGTGTGTTGCTAAGCATCTGAATCGTAGAGTGATTCCCCGCACTGGGAAAAAAAAAAGTTAGTGGATGATTGTATAGTGTGGTAGAAAAAAAGAAAAACAGTATAGTATATTTCAAACCAAGCTTCTTTTGGTTCCTACAGGGCAAGCGCCGTTCTTGAAACAACTTCATTTCGTCCTATGGCATTTTACTGATTTTATGACTTCCTCTTCGTTTTTGATTGTATAATTGCACTTTATCACACTTAACACACCTACACGTCTTACCTCTAAAGTCTTACTTCTACTGTAGTGAAACTTTACTAGTACGAATTTGAAGGGACCTCCAAAAAAAGATTGTTAAAGTGAAAGTTTGTTGAACTGAAACTGTTATGTTTCTGGTTGTTATCACAAGTTAGAGGAACCATCAGTGTTCAAATGAACTTATTCTCCTGCCCAGGGTAGGTGTTGGGTAGATCAGAAAAGTAGCTGATATTCAAGCTAAAGGTAGCCAAAGTAGCCATGAAATTAAAGTTTATCACCGCAATTGTAGCCAAATAGAACAGCATTATTATTATGACTGGAGTTATTTTCACTATTACCCGATAAACATGATTTTGAATATGCAGAAACATACAAGTAGATTCAGAGTTTCCCAGGCTTTGCTTGGTCTTCAAGCTAAACGTGTGTTGCAAAGAATGTTTCATTAATTCATTCTCAAGGATAATGTCATTAGATAAGATGATACATAAAACACGAACAAATATCTGACAAAGTACAGTGAGTAAAAAAGAACCATCTGCAGACTTGCCGAATTGATTATGAAAATGTACATTGTACATTGTGCAGCGCATGATCACCACTTCCCCAGTAAGGAAATTGATTTCAATTGTTTGGTATGCACATTAGACAAGAATCGTTGGGTTTTACAATATGGAATACCTGTCTCATAACAATAATCAAAGAACTCACACCTATGGTGGGGTGATGAATAAAGGGGTCGTGAACGAAGCTACGGTAAGTTCAAGCAGCGAAACTTTCAATGTGTTGTTAAAGACTGAGGAGAAAAGCTGGATATCAGGGCTGTAATTCTAGAGGGGATTGCAGTTAAAAAGAATGTAACATTCTTCCCAGTCATAATACATGATACCGTATCATGTAAATATTCATGACAAGTGATGAGGTTCTAATGCAATGCTTTACAAGATGCAAATGAGCAGGCTGTTTATATTTTGGGTGGTACCAATAGCCCTGCATTTCCTGACATTCAGTTCAATACATTTTCTGCCAGGTAGCACAGTAACTACGTCGGAATAGTTAGTATAAATTTAGTGTACCTGTAGATAGGGGTTGT